GTTTCTGGGGTAGGTGTTGTCAACACTCGAACTGTTTCTCCAGTTGAGCAGCGCCCAAAGCTATCGATGGCCCTATCAACCAGGTTTCTACTCGTGGCTTGGCAACGGCACAAAAACAACAATAGTTATGTGGTCAGCTTTCCATTGCAGCAGTGGTTTACACACCACCTTTCGTGCCAACATCAGGGAGGGGTTTCCAAGTCCCGAGAACCCACATCCGTTAGCTTTATGCTCTCCAAGGACCTGCAATCAAGTGAATAGAAACTAATCTTCTGTAAAACCAGCATGCTGAATGCGTACTTCGGCAGCACGCACCATGAGGGTTGCTTGAGTTGGGTTCTTGAACTGCATGAATCGGAGGGACACTTTGGTCGGATGAGAGATGCTGGGCCAAAATCCGATGCTGTTGGGGTGGCAACAAGACGGACCCGCCTATCTTAAATAACGCCACCATCTACATCTTACTGGCTTGTTTGTTACTTTCCTATGTCAGCCCCAGAATTGTGCCCTGAAGACATTGCCAGCCGTGGGCTTCCATACCCCCACAAGCCAATGTTTCGCTTTGAAGACGCTGTTCTGTGCACTCGCCGAGCGGCGCTGGCGGCTGGCTCACTCATGGGGCAGCTTGAACCTGGATCAGGTCGACACCTGACATGGCCACTCCTGGTGGGGCTGGCTGGAGTTGCTAGTAATAGTTCTGGCATGTGACGCCAAAGTTCGTTGAGACTCTCTCGCGGCCAACAATCTTCTCCATGTTCCCTGCTCCTTCAACGGATACAAACAGTTCTGGCCTGGCGAGAGGCAGCTGCCAAGCAGCTCAACAATGTTGCTTTTTTCCCGGCGTTCATTGCGTTTGTCGCTCCGTCTCACAGCATTCCCTTGAGCTGAACTTGATGGTTGTTTGTTCAGTCAGCAAGAGCAGAGCTCTGCACCTTTGGCTCGGATTCTGCGAGGTTGGCACTCTCGACAGAAGCATTTCAGTGACCAAATCGAGGTGGCCGACACACAGAAACATCAATGAGACAATGAGACGTTTTCCCCGGGGAGGAGGCGGGCAAAAGCCTGACGCAGGTTGAGAGACACACTGGGTGTACGTCCCTGCAGCAATCAAGATGTTTTGGTGATACCCGACGGCCGCTATGTGATGAACACGTATACTGTTGATGCTGGAGTTGATGCTGATGCTGTATGTTTGGCAATGCATCACATCGCATCTGAAACTCTCAACAACTGACAAGTAAAGATAGCTGGAATCCACTAGGCGTGTTGCTCACATGTTGTCGTATCCCCCTTAAAGGGCCTGAATGATTGAATGGCACTCCAAGAGTCGTTAATTGTCACGATTTTGGCTCTTCTTGCTATGGCTCTGAAGCACTTCATAAACACATGAATCCTTGGTTAAGACGCTGCTTTAATCTTGCGTTCATGGTTTCTGCATCAGCATACGACCTCACACCTGCGTATGTATAATACATAATATATGTATATGTACATGTCTTGCTCTCTCGTCTTTCCCCAAAGCGCTCGAATGCCTTGGATTCCTCGGATTCCCCCTTCAAGCCCCCGGGTACCCCGGGCTGCGCGAGGTCCCGGACCTGGACAAGCGCCTGGAGCGCTCGGAGGCGCAGCTTCAAGAGGCCGGGTCAGGGTGCAGGGGGTGGTTCGTATCCACTCCAAAAGTCCCCAAGGGAACCATGGCCACCCTCCACTTTTTTTCTTTTTTTTTTTTACAAGTGCCTGGAAAACATACAACAGCTTGCCCGTATCTGTTAAAGTCGCTGTTCTGAGCAAATCTAATATGTGTGATCATACAGCGGTGGTCGCCGTAGTCTTTATCGTTGTTGTGGTTGTTGTTGTCGTTGGTGGTGGTGATGGTAGTGCACGGGCGGGTGCTGCCCTGCCCCTGCCGCTGCCGCTGCTGCTGCCGAGCCATAAGTGGTGTGTTGTGTAGGTTGAGTTGCTTGCTGTTTATAGTTTCTGGTGGACGAAATCCATTTCGCACCACCTAAGAAACCCTGGAATGATGATTCCCCTGAAACCCACAAACATTGGATTCCCATGATTTCAAAGTGGTGCGAAGTGGATTTCGTCCATCCACAGTAGGATAGGGATGAACTCTGGCACCTTCTGCGGGTCGCCAGCCAAGACGTAGCAGCAAATGAGCCTGTGAGGCCTGGAAGAGCATGGGCAGCGCACAAAGCTATGTGCGAATGCGGTAAAGACACGCAAAAGCGATTGATTCGAGTCCCAACACACCTTTGAGCATGACGCAGCTTCTGGCTGAAGCAATCAGTCGTCACGTGAGCTGAGCGGTCGCATGAGAGCCGCGGAATTCGCCGGGTGCCGATACAGGTCGGTGGTTTTGTTATCCGGATCCTTGCCCGCGGTCGTTTTTGGAAGGTATTGCCCTCCCACCAAGGGTGGGAACCTGACGTAAAAGGGGGGGTCCTGGCTTCGACCATTTTCCTCGTAAAGGGGACCAGGCTCCTTCCCCAGAATTAGCTCCCCTTTTTTTTGTTTTGCTTTTTTGGGGTCCCTTAGCTTTCCAAAAAAGAGCTCATTTTCTGCTGGGGTCCCATTTTTCCAGCCCAGGTTCCCTGTCAGGTTCCGGCTGCTTGGTCCGTTCAGACGCCGCGCAGGTGGCAAAGCTGCTCTCGAGTCAGGAGGCGTTGGTGCAGCAGGGCGTTCAGGCGCGTTTTCGGAGCGCAACTCTTGGCTGCGGGTTTTACAGGGCTCCTTAAAAGATACATTTTGCCCATCTGAAACATGGCTTTTTCAACACCAAAATGAAGGGAAACCCCCATTTACAAGGCAATTTTCAGGTGTATGTTGTAAGGATCCCCGTTTTAGTGGTTGGGTTGGGATGTTCACTGGGGGTACGGTGATTTTGACCCATGGCCATTTTTGGTTTGGCCGAAAAATGCCTTAAAAAAGGAAAGAAGGCGGGGCTTGCCTATTGGGGGCCTCCTTTTTGGTGTTTGTTTCAAGGAGGTCGAAAAGGAAGCCGAGCAATTCTTCTCATAGGTTGGTTCTGATCGGTTGTTGAGAGGGGCACGTCGTGCGTTGTGGTGGCCCCGTGTTGGGGAGTTGTTGCACCTGTATTGCAAGCGAGTGCCGACGACGTTGGCAGCCGTACTGCCTAGCAAGTCGGCCACCCAAGAAGGAACACCGTGCATAAATGAGACCGGCTGCTTCACGTGTTGAAAGCTTGGCAGCGGAAAAGCCATTGGTTACGTCGTGGAATCAAGAGGACTAGAGGGGTAAGTCAGTGCGGTTTGTGTTTCCGTCCAGATGGCTGGCTTCACTGCGGTTTGCTCTGTTTTTATAGCTCGGATTTCGGAGCTGTGGCCGAAGTGAGGCTGGGGGAGAGGGGTGTGTTTCCGCTCATGCGCAACAAATGCCAAGGGATGACTTACGTAACCAAGTCTCCTTAGATGGCTTTTCCATCAGGTGCAGAAAGATCTGGAGCAGCTTGCAGACAAGCAGCGCCACTTCGAGAAGAATCATGGAGATCTGCAGAAGGAGCCGAGCCATGAGTTGAGTAGCAGGACCAAATGGAACTAGGGAACCCCATGCACTTCCTCTCGAGATATGTTGTTTTTTACTCAGGCCGCAGGATCTTTTCTCCATGTTGGGTCGGTACAAAGCAAACCCACACAGCTCATCGCACCTTCTAAGCGGAGCACCTCTGAAGCGGTCTGAGCGCCGACCGTTTCTGCCCATCCATGTCCGGCGCAGCAAATGGACAAAACGTTTTTTCTTTGGTGGTTCCGGTCATTCCCAGGATGGACGCCCTGGTTGCTTGATGGCGCGTCCTTGAAGTGGGGATATCCAGCTGCACTTCTTCAATCCAGCCGCGCGTTCATGGCCTGGCCTGGGGGCTGGCAGGAGGTTCGAACACGATGGCGCACCAGATTGGGAGTTCTCAAAGATAGGGAAATGGCTCGTTTGGGAGCTTGGTGAAAAAAAAAGTGCTGCAAATTCAAGGGAGGGTCAGGACCCAAAAGGGCCTATTCTTCACCTGGTGTTGGGTGTTGGGAGTTTTCAGTCTAGCAGTTTGGGCAGAAAGACTTTTTCCAGCGACCAGCGAAGGATGGAAGGGTTTTGGGATCGATGTGAGAGTCAACCAGCAAAAAATGTTCTTCCCTGCTCTTCCAACTAGCCCCTGCTGCCTTTTCAATTGCGGCTTTGGGGGAGCACATGCCATGCGTTCCGAAACTTCGCCCTTTCCAGCCGATCAGAAGAAGGCCACGTTTTTTGTGTTTTTTTTGGGGGAGGGGGTAATGTTCTGGTGGATAAGCCCTGCAAAGGGAAGCCAGCCATTTCCGGACAGCCATGAGATAAAAGGCCGGCCTTCCGAATGAGGACATCCAGCAGCTCCAAGAGATGCAAGACCAGCCGGGGGCCTTTGATTTGCAGCCAGGAAATCAGGCGGAGCCTTGTGATATGAGTTCCTGACAACATATTGGTAGTTTATATGGTGGTTCAGGGAGAACATGGGAGGGCAACCCAAATTTCCACAAAACAAAACACAGGGGGACAAGCACAAAATCTGATTCTACCACGTCCTCTTGGGGCAATTGGGCTCAATACGTGCCATGGCCAGAAGACACCATGTCTTTGGCATGGTGCGGTTGGTCATGGACCATTTAGTATTTGTTGAGTACCAATGCAAGGAGGTAGGATTTCTATTGATCGCGCTATGCCCGACATGAGGAGTTTTGACCAAGGTCCGGCTCGAGCAGCCTCCCAGGCCGACCTGGCCCGGCTGACGTCACGCTTCCGTTCGCCAGGCTGTGCGAGTGGGACGCTGTCACTCGTGACGGGTACGCGGTGGTGGTGAGCGGGACCACAAGGTTTGCCTTGGAGCGGATCTGGCTGGAAGCCCTGGCTGCTAGCCACATTCATGCGCATCATCGCCCTGACTCGTGGCCGATTTTGCCAAGTGGAACTGTCCTCATGGGCAAACCTGGCTTCCGGTCCGGCACAGTTTAGCTGCCCGGGCTCTGTGAGACTCTGTGAGATCAGGATGGGCCTGACACGCAACCCTGGCTCAATGGGGGTTCTCCCACATCGTCGTAGTGGGACGATCCAGCTTCGGCTGGAGTGCGTAGAATGTTTGCTTAACTTGATAGTCCTTCAGGTGGAGCTATGCCGCAATGTGGACGCTGTGCCCAGCTTCCTGGTCTCCGTTGAAAGCTGCAGGATACGGGAAACCTCAGTTTCATGCGGAAGGCTTCGAAGGAATACCGAATTACATGGAACATCCTTTTTACTCGAAGAAGCTTGCAAAGGAGTACTCAAGCAGATGAAAAAGCAAAAATCAGTTTGGGCTGAGAAACGCTTAACAGAACCAATCGAAATGATTGGGCTCAGAGGGGCTTCCATTGTTTTGGGGGTGGTGGGGCGATACCGGTCCAAGCAGCTGACCACCAAGCAGCCAGACCTCAATCGCTGCAACTTTTGTTCTAGCCCGCTCATGTCGGCCCAGTACCGGCTTGATTGCGCAAGCGACTTTGGAACGGGTATAAGCTTGAGCTCAGCAAAGTAATTCCCTTATTATTTAATGGCCTGCGGCCTGGTTCCGCCGCCCCCACACACCTTAGAATTTTGGCCCGGGACGAGAGAAAGCACGCGATATGTAGAGAGACACAGACAGACACAAAGACACGCAGACAGACACGCAGCGGGGGGGGAGGGTCTTCGCGGACACGAAGACAGACGCAGATGCGCAGGCAGACGCAGACAGAGCCAGACAGACACAAATACACAGACAGACACGCGGGGGGGGGACACGAAGAAAGACGCAGATACGTAGACAGACACAGACAGACACAGACAGACACAAAGAGACAGAGACAGACACGCAAGGGGTCTTCGCGGACACGAAGACAGACGCAGACAGACCCAGACAGACACAAAGAGACGCAGACAGACACGCAGGGGCAGGGGGGGTCTTCGCGGACACGAAGACAGATGCAGATACGTAGACAGACATAGACAGACACAGGGGGGGGCGGAGGGGTGGGGGAAGACTACCCGAAGCCTAGGGAAGAAGCCCGAACACAGGACAATTGTTTCCCGAAACAGTATCGGGACTTGGTGAAGAAGCGAAGATTCGGAAGACTAAGAGAAGAAGCCAAGATTGCGGAAATTTACGGGAAGAAGCTTGAAAGATTTCGGAAGACTACGGGAAGAAGCCGGAAGACTACGGAAGACTACGGAAGACTACGGAAGACTACGGGAAGACTAGGAAGACTACGAAAGACTGGAAGAAGCCGAAAGATTAAGAAGATTACGGGAAGAAGGCGGAAGACCACGGAAGACTACGGGAAGAAGCCGGAAGACTACGAAAAGAAAGGAAAGAAAAAGCCGAAGGAAGAGAGAGAGGGGGGGGGGGGGGAGGGGGGGTGGGGGGGGGGGGGGGGGGGGGGGGGTGGGGGGGGGGGAAGTCCGGATCAAGTCAAATCAAGGGATCAGAATCCAGAATCCAGCCCGATTTCAACCAACCTGAGCACCCCAATTCCTGACCAAATCTCACCCGAAGGCAGAAACCAGACCTTCTCAAGCCCAAGGGACATATAGGTTATATATATATATATCTACATAATCATATTCACATTAAACTTATAGAAAGCATATCAACAAAAGCAACACGGAACACACCGCCCCCATGCCGAAAGCATGGTCCATTCTGGACCAGGCATGGGGTCGGCGGATTATTTCGATGGCGATGTAAGTAGTTAATGGTTGCTCAGCGCAACTAGCCAGAATGTTGTGTTGTAATAGCTTCCACCATTTGCTTACCCTTGGCCGAGACAGGTTTTCTTAACCCAGTGCGGAACTGTCGTTTTGGCAGTGGAACCACACCTACCTGGGATTCGGCAATGGTTCAGGGGCGCAACCACCCTGAACCTATCAGCCAGTACACCCACGTGTCAGCCCCCAAGCAGCCCCGTAAAGCCCTCACCCAGAAGCAAGCCAACGGTGGATTGTGGTGCTAGGCCTCTCTGGGCAATGTATAACAGGTAGGGCGGCCCACTTCAAATGCTAGTGGGTTGCAGGACAAACTTCGAGTAGCTGGCACAGATTTTCTTGGTTTCATGTCCTCGAGTCATGCCAAACTCCCCCAAACTCTTCCATTATTACCTGCCCAAATGACAAGCATGATGGTCTACCGGTGCATCTTAGCGTTGAACCCAGTTGGGGCCTTTTTTTCCTCTTTGCTCAGCAATCAAGAGCCCGGGGGCTGGAGGCTGACAGTGACGTGCAGCAGCGCGCAAGCGGAGCTGACCAAGCAAGCCAAGAGCATTGGACAGGCAGGGAGCAACGACCCGGGGACAGCTTACTGACCCTTCTCAATCATTCATGCAGTGGATGAACAAAATCCAGCAGGTGGTTTGTCCCAGACTCATCTTGTCTCTCTTGGCTGGTGCAGGATGTTGTCCGTCACAGTAGATCAAGGTTTTCATGGTGAGCTGCAAGTCAAACGAAAGAGCTGCTGGCTTCGGCACAGCTGTGCGGGGCGACAATGCAATTTGGACAATGCAAGTTGCTCACTGTACACCCCCACCCAGATTCTTCCACTTGGACCTTTCCGTATCATTTTCCATCCCTCGTTTTTGTTCATGATGTGTTCTCCTTATGGTCTTTGCGGCTTAGCTTTTGCCCCCTGGATCGAATTCATGGCTGACACCTTCCTGAGAAGGCGGAGCCGCCAGCAAGCCTTCAGGTGGAGCCGGTGGCTTCCGAGAGCATGGTGCAACTTGGATCGAGCTGGAAGCTGATGGCGTTCGAAAGACGTTGAGCCATGCGGAGGTCGAATCGGTAGACGTCCGTTGGTTGATTGCTTCGAGCGTGGCGGTTGAAGAATTAGGGCTGGCATGACCCTTGAGGTCCCCCGAGTGGTGATGCAGCGTGGCTACCGCCTGTTGCCCTTCAGTTCAATCTGGCACGCACAGGTCCTGCCTTGTTCCTTTTCAAAAGAGCCGATAGACACGCAGGATTTTGCAAATGCCGCTTTCAGCTCCTTCCTGGTGGCCAAGCAGACCGTGCAGTGATGCTGGGGACATGTCAAAGAGGTTTGCTGGTTTGCAAGTTCACAAATGGTGAGGTTCCGTTTCTGGCAGTCACTTTGGGTGGGCAAATCATGATCATGATGAGATCTCACATCCCAGTAAATTCAAAATCAGAGGAGTTGGCAAGGCTTTCAGATCGGGAAGGCGACGTCGGTACATCCCTTCTCAACTAGCAGTCGGAAATTCATATAAGTTGCGGTCAATGCATGTCACGGCTTGCCCACATGTTGCTATGTTTTTTGTTGTCAGTACTGGCATACTGATGAAACACACTGTGGAGACAGCACGTGTTCTCTTTGCTGGATGCAGAAAGAAGTTGTCGATAGGTAGGTCTCAGTAGCAATGCCCAAGCTCGACCGCTGGAGTATTTGGCAAAAATAACAAGGGGTTCCCAAAATTGGGGACTATTGAAACATGTTGAATCGCCTTCTTTTGCCATGATAAATGTGGGGTGATTGTTGTGTCGGATTTGTGCTGGTTTCGACATTGGTCTAGTATCGGATCGGTTTAGTTTTGGTTTAGTATACATTGACTTATTAGTAGTGACTTAGTATTGGCCTTAAAGTGTCCCCTAATAATTACACTGGAGTTGGGGTTGGTTGGACATTTCCTAGTTTAGAGTTGATTTAGTAATTCAGCAGTATCGAGAGACTTGGTTTGGGAAAAGCATATTTATTGATAGGGTGCATTTGTTGATAGGGCGAAGCTATAAAATGGAACGCAAAAGGCAACCAGCAGGCACTTCAGGCTTGCCATTTTCACACATAGCTAAATCAATTTCAGGGATGTTGGCCTCTTCTTACCATGGTCAGGGCTTGGGTTTAAGCATCCACCGAGGCAGAAGAATGAGCGCATCGAGACCTCCATTTCCAAACTGGGCCCCAGGGTTTCGACCCTGGAGGCGCGCGCCAGTTGATGACTAAAACGGTTTTTGGATTCACTTCTGCCGAGGTTCTCGGTTTTTGCAGTTTAACAATTCGACCACATTGCCAGATTGAGCTTACCGTTTTGACTGGGTTTCCTTCATTTTCTGTTTCGACCTGCACAAATGTAAGTTTTTGCAGGGGTCTACTGCGTTCAGCTCAGATAAGGCCAGATTAACCTTGATCCCTGAAGCTTCTCGGGTGGGCCCAGGATGACCTCCAAAAAGCGGGGGTCAATGGGGACAGGGGATGGAGATCTCAGCGAGAATCAACGGCCAAGGAGGAAATGAACGAGCTCCTCAATGAATCAGAGAAAGATCATGTTGAAAGTGTTGAAGACGGGCAGCTGCATGGTGAGCTTCCCTCGAGAAGGATGCACGGGAGAAGGATGAAGAACGAGTGGAAGATGGAGTTGAACAATAGACAGTGGGGCCAGTTCTTCCCCTCGCCTCAGGTTCTCTCCAATGTTCTTGTGATCTTTGGCCTGACCAATGGGTTGTTTTTCGACAGTGTCTTGGCTCAAGAGCCAACGTGCGATCTGTTCTCGGGCTTCGGCGCCTGGGACTGCTCCCGGCCCCATCCTGTGAGTCCACCTTTGGCAAGCCTGGGACTGCTGGCAAGTCCTGGCAAGCTGGCCACGCAGCCATGAATCCGCTGGCATACCCTGGCACCACAAGCGGGAATGCCCATGTCGCTCCGAAAGTAGAAGATCAAAGCACAAGCATGGCAGCAAATACATCGGCATCGCCCAAAACAGCCCCGCCAGTAGAGTTGTGCTGCCGTCATCACCTGGTCACGGAAGGGGGGGGCATAGGTGTTTCTTGCTCAATTGAGGACTTCAGCTGCAGCATTCAATTTCGCGGTTGCTGGTATTCCCCTGTACCTCAACAAGAGCAAACCTCCTGAATCACCAATCGGAATCTGCTTTTGGGATCAGGTCAACCCGGTGATTCCTTGTATGCAATCGGAACCTGGATGAAGTTCGGCCAGGACACTCTCAAGGATTTGATCCAGGAGCTGGGCACAAGGCTGGTTCGTCAAAAGACGCGTTGGGCTTGGTGCCTGTCATGGTGTTTTAGCTTATGTTTTCCAGGCAACCCATGTACTGGTTGCCAGAGACCATGATGGATCCTTGAGGCATTTTGAGTCCACCATTGCAAGGGTTGCAAGTGGGGGAACCCATGGCCAGGACTTGTAACCATGACACTAATCTGTTAGAGGTCACGCAAGCGTTGCATCAACCAATGTCCCCAAAAACATGTGACCATTGTGCGGACGTGGGTGAAGTACTGGTGAACAGTTTCACTGAACCTCATACAGAGCCTCAAGCAACCGGGCGTTTTCTGTCGTATGTTGATGTTAGTCATGTATACCACTTATCATCTTTTGACCAGAGTTCTTGACCAGGTAACTTTGGCTCATGTTCAGAGGGCGTATTGCTTGTTGGGCTTGCGATGAAGGGAGTGACGAAGTCGTTTTTTTTTTGCCATCTAGGTCCTCCAGTTGTGCCCTTTCCCACCCTTTTTGGTTGGGAGGGTTCCCCTACTAAAATAGACTGCGGACGATAAGCTCAGGTGATATCCCCAACAGCACGCGGTGCTCCCCTCGCAGAACCACCCTGGTGGATCCCTGGTGGAACCCTGGTGGATCCCTGGTCTAACCCTCGTGGAACCTTACCTCAGGGCCGCCCCGGACCAGCCCGGAGCCTATCTTAGCCCAGAGACCCCAAAGCTTCAGCTGTTGGGGAAAATATAGGGTACCAACTTCTTCTAACCTCTCCTTTGGTGCATGTTGCTCGGCTGTTAGGACTTTAACCTTTTGCCAACTCATGGGTTTTCCGTACTAAGCCACTACAAGTTATTCACTTTTAGCAGGGCTTCGCAGATTTCGCAACCCCCCCAACCCCCCCCCACACCCCCCCCACCCCAGAACTGGAGGTACCCCACGAACCGTCTCTACTGGAGGACCTCTCTAGCCTACGGGCCTTGTCGGGTTTTCGGAGAAACGATCCACCCTTTCGCCCCCAGGCTGCGAGGCCTCGACGTGAGCCTCCTGGGTCTGGAGCCTGGGGCCCAGAACCCGAGCGAGACATGCGGCGGGCGTGCGCGCGCCCAGTCGGGGGACGGAGTCAGATGACTCTCAGAGGGGGTCCTTTTTGGGTTAGGCGGGTGTTGGCGCTGCCTCTAGATGGGTCTTGAAGGGCGCATTTACCAGGGGCCAGCCGTTTTTTTTCGAAAAAGGGCCACAATGTGTGTGTGTGTGTGACCGGGGAACGACCCAAACACCGTCTTTTCATTGGTTTCGAGCTGTGTGTGACCGAGTTTAGGTATGCGACTCCACCAAGATCGGGCTTTGGGGGGGGGGAGCGGGGTTCGGGTGGGGTGTTTTTTGTTTTAGCTGGGGAAGGGGGGGGGGGAGGAGGGGTGCCCTTTGTCGCCCACGTGCTGTTCAAAGGACTTGCCTTGACGGCTTCTGGATCAACATATTTCATTTACATGCTTTTGACCTTTCTGGTTAGTTCGGTGTGAGCATTCGGGGCCTGATGTCCGCACAAAAACGGGGAAGGGCTATTCAATTTGTCCAGGTCCACTCGGGGGAGCAATGGTGTTCATGGCTCAACAGAAGAACACGTTCTGTGATGGCAAGGGAATCCCCCTTGAAGCTGAAAAGCTGTCGTTCTGGTCCACTTTCAGCGATGGCCACGGTTTTGTCCATTTCCTTTCAACCAGTACCTGAACGCGCGCTGTTTGTTTGTTGCGCGGAGGGCTGCTGCTGAAACCAAGCAGCGCATAGGGCTCTGATCAGCTTGCCCGAACTGGAGTAAAGAGCCGGGGCCTTATGATGAAAGGGCCCCATGATGAAGCTCCTTCACAAGGAGATCCCGCATTTCTTCATGAGAACTTGTACAGATGGTTCACCATCCGGCATTTGGAAAGCAACTTCCTCAGAATCCGGGTGATTTCCAAAGCCACGCCTTCAGATCTGAAGCTGGGCGCCACCACTTGTTTCAACCTGATTTTTCACCTTGGGGGTGTTGTTCCCAAAGCCATGTTTCCCCATCTGAAGAATGGCGCCACCGGTTTCCAGGGATTCTCCCCCGGACATGGCGGCCTTCGGCACGGGCTTCCACGGCACTCGCTCGCGAGGCCACGGATCGCCACGGTGGAGTCCCAGATGCCGCGGCCGGGGGTCCCAGCCAACTGGATGTGGTCAAAACCGTTTTGGTGTCCCATGTTGGTTAGGTGAATTCACCACCCATAGGACCTATTTTAGTGGTTGGATGGTCATGGATGTTCACTGGGGGTACGATTTGGATCTAGACCCATGGCCAAAGTGGTGTCTCTGGGGTTTCCGAGCCATTTCCCTTAAAGGGAAGCTCCAAACGGAAGCCACCGAGCAAACTTATCAACTTTTGAGGGGGAGTTAATTCCGTGTCCCTCACCTTTTGTTTTTTCTCGGAACCTCCAAAAGCGATCGTTTCAATGGAAGTGAACTAGTAAAAGTTATCAACTTTTGATTTGGGGAAATGCAGCGACCCCTGCATCAAATGCAGTGACTGCCTCCGTCTGGATCCATGCCTGGCTTTAAATAGACTCCACCATTTGAAGATCCGTTTGGCTCATAGCCACCCGATTTGACCGGTGACAAGTTGGACAGGAGAATGCTTCTCGGTTTGCAGGTTCCCTAGTCAAGCATTGGAGAGCCGAGTGGGGTCTTCATGAGTGTCAGATTTGAGCGGTGGATTCCTGGAGTTTAGGATTCCCGATTCCTTCGGGCTGTTGGCTTGTGCTTGGAGGGTTGTAGAGCGAAAGAATACAGAGTGGAGGATTTCAGGGTCTAAACCAGGCTGCACGAGATGCGCAATGCAGATGCAGACTGTGATATCGTCACACGGCCAATTGTCAAAGGGACATGTTGAACAACCACTCCGACAAAAACACTTCCCTTGAGCGGATGTGCATTGCGACACGCGCTGGGGCGAGACTCGTGACTCCCGACTCTAGCACTAGTTCTAGCGCTGTGATGGTAGACCTTTCGAGGCCTTTGAGCACTGTTTTGACGTCCTTTTGCTTGGAGCTTCTGGGCTTGCAAGCGCGAGGCTTCAAGACACCGTGAAGACGTTGTCGGTGCTGTCGGCAGATGTGAAGTCTGATGGGGAGAAGTCAGCGTTGCGTTTCCAAAAGCTTGAGGCCGGCCGATCCGATTGGGCGCGACGGGCATGTCAGGAGCAGCGAGATGTCAGGAGTAGCGAGTGGCAGCTCAAGGCAGTTTTAGCCAGGAACAGCAAGGATAACAGCCCTGAACTGCCCACAGTGTTCTCATCACATGCATTTTCTTGTCGATTGATTTGGAAGCGCGTGGGAAATCAGGGTCCAAGACTCAGGTGAACGGCTGTCACAACTCTTTTTTTGAAGCTATGTTCCGTTTGGGGGAGAACAGAGTACCGCCGTATGCATTCTCACAAAGAACCGGTGGGAAGCTTCTGTGTTCTGCCTCTGTTTTTCAGAGCAGTCCTAAGGTTTGCGAGCAAAACGTTTGGGTGAATCGTGGCAACTTGACTGGGGATTCAACTACCATTTGTGCAGCAGAATTGCAACTGGTGGCTACAGTCTGACGTGGGCTGCGCGTGGATGGCATTCAGCCGCCCCAGATGGTTACCGCTAAGTTTTTCGTCTGGACCCTGGCCACCTTCCAAGGGGAACTCAAAGGAGGATGTCAGTTCTTGACCCTCCACAAATCAACATGGAACCTGCGTTCGGGACCCGGTCCGGGAACATGCTTTTCCAGGGCCCCCCCCAAATGCCAACTCCCTGCACCTCAACAAAAGCGACCTCCCGAATCACTCAGAATCTCCTTTTCACATCTTTGGACTCGGGGATCGGCCCCCCCCCCCCAACCAAAATGGCGGTCCTTGTGGTGTTCCCTTTAAAAACCACTCAAGTTCTGGGTAAACATCTTGTGACACCTTGTGAGCTCTTTTTGACCTCCTTTGCCAAGTTTTGCCCTGCAGCCAGACCCTGGCCACCTTCAAACGGGTATGGGTCAAAATTAAACCACCAACAACTGCAGGCACTTGAGTCCTTGGTTCCATTTGCCAGGCCAAGCCATTTTGGGGTTACCTTTTTGTTGACCCACAGCCACCTGCCATGCAGCTTCACTCCCTTCCCCAGTGCCAGGGTCACCCCTCCCCCCCCCCCCCGCCCCCGCCCCGCAGCCAGCGGTAGGCCTCGCTGGCCAAGCTGGCCGCGGGCGCTGAGGAGGCGGAGCTTGCGGCGCAGCAGCTGAAGCTGTGGTCCGAGAAGTCGGAGGCAAGTCGGCATGGGGCGGCGGTTTTGCAAGTTGGCAGCCCTTGCTCACCCCCTTGTTTTTTTTGGGGAAGGGAGGGGACATTTCTACTAAAATAGACGACGGGAAAAAATGGTGGCAACTTATTCTAACCTCTCTACTGGAGGACCTAGTTGCGTTGGTGGACGCTTCTTCGGGTGTTGGTGCCCCCGGGTTTTTGGTGGAAAAAAGCACCATTTTGGCGTGGGTATTTTTTTCGAGGTGGTGCCCCCTTGTTTGAAGTTTTTTTTTTTTTTTTTTTTGGTTTTTTTTTTGGGGGGGAAACAAGGAAGACCGCACTTTTGGCATTTATTTTTTGAGTTGGTTGCCCCCCCCCATGTTTGGTGTTTTTTGGGGAAAGTACAAAAGCAAACCACAGTTTTGGCATTGATTTTTGAGTTGGCGCCCACCTTTTTGGTAGGTTTCTTTGGGAAAGCACAAGGACACCGACAGTTTTGGCATAGTTTTTTTGAGTTGGTACCCGGTACCCCCATGTTTGGCAGGGTTTAAGGGAAAACCAAAAGGAGGACCACCATTTTGGTCTGAAAAATGACACGCCCACTTCCCCTCTGGGCCATTTTTCTTTGCCCTTGTCTTGTGGGAAGGGAATCCCCCCTTTGTCAATCACCAAGAAAAGGGCGCCCCTTTTTTCCAATGGCATGATCTCCGAATATTCCCAGTCCCCGATTGTTCATCAATTCTTGGTGGTTTTGGGGGAGAGGATTGGTGGGTTCGGGACCCAAGAATTGGTGGTCAAATGGGTTCCCTGTTGGGTGGAGCGGCCTCGTGGCAAAAGGGCTCCCTGTTCCACCAGGATCACTGTGCAACCTGAAGGACCCACTTGCACTGTGTTTGGGAAGCTCGCAAGCTCGAAAATGGCTGCCAACCATTGGGAAACCTTTGCTTCGCTGTTGTTGCACCCCCTTTTTTGTGTGGTTTTATGGGGACCGAGGAACAGGCCGGACCGCGCCGTTTCGGAGGTTTAACCCCAAAAGAGGTCCAAACATGGGTATGGCTTAAACTTGAGCCAGGGAACCGCAGGTTTCAGGGCAAGCCATTTGGAGGTTGCCCTATTTTTGACCCACCACCACCTCCCCAACGACAAATGGGTGTGGCTCAAAATTAAACAGGAGGGGGCAAACCGCAGGTTTTGGTCCATGTCTCCACTTCTCAGGACAACCCATTTTGGAATTTTCCAGTTTTTTGAGCCACAGCCAAATGGGGAGGCTCGCCCCACCGTCCGCCCGCCCCACCGCAGGAGCGGCAGCGGCGCCTGGAGACCGCCTTCGAGGCGCTGCACGCGGAGCGCGGCGAGCTGCAGGCGGCGGCCAGGCGCATGGAGACCTCGGCCCAGACTCAGAAGGACTCCGATCCGAGCCGAGACGAAAGCGGCGAGCGGCGAGCGCGTGTCCGTTTTGGGGCGATGAGGGTGGCCTCATTTTTTTTTACTAATAAATATATTGTTGGGCAATGAAGGTGGCCTTGCCCTTCTTTTCCCATAGGATTTGGAGCCCCCCAAAATTGGGCGCAACGAATTTGCTTTTGGTTCCCCTTTGAGAACCGTACTAGGGGTACCAGGTACTAACTCAAAACAAACAACACCCTTGTGAATCGTTTTAGCTCATGGAGCGTCCCAGATAGTTGGGAAGAAGGGGTCGGCGGATATGGATATCGGCGTTCACGGATTCAGAAGGATGCAGTCCTTGACCAAGAGCCCACTCCATTTGAATTAGAGCGATTTCTTCGTCCAGGAGAACCACGAGACAGCCATTGCGCGGGTGTGCAACTTCGAGTATCGGCTCACAGCGCCTAAGCGAAAGGGTGGCTGCCAGGGTTGGGCACGATCTTAGACAAGAGTGATTGGAACGTGGTATATACCGTGTGGGTCTGCCGACGGTGGACGAGGCAAAATTCCCCTGTTTTGGTTTAGTCATACCCACCAGGGAATTTGGCCATCTACTTTCAACCGGTCTGGGACTTTGTTGACCGTCCAGATTTGAAGGTTCATCAAATGGGCCAGAACCTAAACATGTCATTTCTAGTTGGGAGCCAAAGCTCTGGTAGACCGCATCGTCAACGGTCTTCAAGGCTAACATCACTCCCCCAGAGTATTTGATTCGTTGCATTATGCCGGTCCAAGCATGCTGGGTTTCCTTCCTGCAGCTTTTGAGTTTTCGGAGGCGCAGGGTTGGTTCCCTCAGGCAACGAGGCGCACGGCCGCGAGTGAAAGTTGTCGGCACTGAGCGATGAGACACAGGTCGCACGGATTTGGTCAGATGTCCAGGCAGGCACGGGCCCCTTCTCCGCTGTAAGGCTCTCATAGTCTCCCAAGACTAGTGGCAAGGCTCTTCTGAGAGGCGCCTGCCTGGAAGAGGAAGAGGAAGGGTCTTGCTTGATTCCTTGAAGCTCATGTGGCTGTGGTTGTCAAAACCGTTTTGGGATCCCATTTCGGGTAGGTAAATTCACCACCCATTTGAGAACCTATTTTAGTGGTTGGATTGAACCGGATGTTCACTCAAGGTACGATTCGGATTTTGACCCACAGCCATCCATTCCACAGGCTTTTTGCGAGGGTCCTCGTCATGCCGCGGGTGTGGCACTCCAAGCAACTCCTCAACCTGCCCGCTTCGAACGCAAATGCTAGGCTTGGGTGCATTTTGCCAAGGGATGTTAGGACTTTAACTCGTTGCCAGCTGATGGGTTTTTTATTAAACAACTGAAAGTTAAACTTTCAGCAGGGGAGCAGAAAGCAACCAAGTAGAGACTGTAGTGACCATTCCGCTCAAGAGGACCAATGGAACACCATGCTGGGTTGCGCGCCTTTTTCACATGTAAAGTGAAAACGGGCGCTTTAGACCAAAGCCCTCCCCGAAACCCGGAGACTGCTCGGTTAACGTGTCACAATAGGTGACAATAGGGGCTTCCTTGGTTTCCCTGTACAGGTCAAAGGCCAAGTTCATATCAGATACGTGACGGGTACAGAATTAACCAAAATTACCAGGGGGGATATCCGTGGGTGGAGGCACTTGCTTCAACCATTTTCAACCACCCTAACCAACCATCCACCAGCTTCGCAGGAGTCCACGTAGTCTTGTTTCGGTGGAACATGTTGCTTAAAGGGTTCCATGACAGAGCTACCACGAAAACGGGAACCTAGGGTTAATCAATCCCTGGCTCATCCGTACTAGGGTGTTCCATTTGGGAGGGAATCCGGATTTGGGGAACCGCTGCCTGTCAATCCACTCCGTCGATTATCGGGGTCGACCCATAGTTGGACTTTCAACAACTGAAGATCAAACTACTTTGTGAGATGTAGTCAAGTCCAGCACCCCCCCCAACAACTGCTTGGACAGTCTTGGGATTTTGGACATCAAGCACCCAGCCTGGCCAACCATGTTTGTTCCTGCCTGGTTGGCCTGCTTGCCTGGCTTGGGAAGAAAAACAAGCCAACAAGTCGCTAGGAATCTCCCGGACGTGCCTGGTTGGCTGCCTGTCGGTTGGTTAGCTTTTGGTTGATTGGTTGGTTGGTTGGTTGGTTGGCTGTCTGGTTGGTTCCTTGGTTGCCCGGTCGGACCATTTTTTCCGGACGTCTCGCCTGAGGCCTTCGAGGTGCGCTTGAGCCAAGTGGAGCCTTTGGAGGCCTTGGCGGTGCAGCTGGGCCAAGTGGAGCCCCGCCTGGCGCAGCTGGCGCCTTGACGATCCGAGTGAGGGGGGAGGGAGGGTGGGGGGGCGGGGGGGAGGGGGGGGGGAAGGAGCGTCACAATGGGGGGGGTGTCTGTGTTTCTCTTTTTCGTTGGTACCCCCCCCCAATGTTTGGTGTTGTGTTTTTTGGTGAAAGCACAAGGAAAACCACCATTTTGGCCTTCGTGTGGTGTTTTGAGTTGGTACCCCTTGTTTGGTGGTTTCAAAGGGCACTCACAAGGAAAACCACTATAATGGGGGGAGCCCCAAGAAAGACTTAACACACTAGAGCATTGCAGGTTTTAGGCCACGTTTGCGTTTACCAGGGCAACCCAGTTACCAGTCATTGTCTTTGTCCCCTTTAAGCAACGAACTAACTTTTTGCAGGGGGTTTAAGTTCTGGCCTAGTTTTTTTGAGTCGGCTTTGAAAACATCAAAATCGGCCCCCCAAAAGCAAGATGTTGTTTTGGTGGAGATGGCTGAGCCTTTATTTTCGTATTACGCGAAGGCTCAAGATGGGAACATCGCATTCAATTGACACTTCCTCTAAATGGTTGTGTAGTGGTGTTGAAAGGGACATCGCCAGTCACTTGCTGCCCAAAACTGGTTCCCAATCACGTTTCTCGTGAAGGCTGGGTTCTTGCCTGTCGTTCGGCGGAAAAGCAACACAAACTGCAGCTTCGAAGGCAACGGTCGTCAAACCAAGTACCAAGTTGGACCCTTTTTGGACCCATTTTCTCTGCCTGTTCGCATGTTTTGTTTGACATGGCTGCTGGAATGCCCATGTTGCCCAATACGACATGAAGCCCCACCCCAAGCCCCACGTCCCACCCCTCCCAGTCCCATCCCCCTCCCAATGCCACAGCCGAAGCCCAACTTCTAACCACCCCTAACCAACCCACCGCTTCGGCTCCAAGCCAAATGGCTCAAAATCAAGCAGGCGGGGCAAACCGCAGGTTTTGGTCCATGTTTCCACTTACCAGGGTTACCCATTTTGGGAATTTTCCGGTGTTTTGAATTCGCCACGGCCAAATGAACATGTCCGGCCGGTGCCCAGGAGCCCTTGAAGGCGCTGCCGCAGCAGCTGCAGCAGCTGGAGGCCCAGCAGAGCAGCGCCTCGGCACTGGATCTCTCGGGGGAAGCCGCCGGTTGGGAGAAACCGAATGGAGAAAAAACCCCTTTTGGGGGATCCGAAACGAAGAAAGCAAGAAGGAGACACACCCACGGCCAAAGCTTACTGATATGGGGCTTTGAGGTGATTTGGGTGTGCCTCAAAATTAAACAGGAGGGGTTACGCATGTTTCCACTTACCAGGGTTCCATTTTGGTACCGTTGTTTTGAGCCACAGCCATTTGTTTATAGCTACCTCCTGATCATTTGGTTGCTCAAGTTAGGATCTATATACTGAGTCACCGCTTCGAAGCTTGACACCTTGACCCTGCGGCTATGAAACCAACTATAGTCTCAGACGGAATGAATCGCCCTCCCCAAACTGGCACCACTCATGTCCACCAAAGGGTGCTCCAGTGGTGCCGTGCCGCCTTTCCCTTTTGTTTCTTATTTTCGAGGGGTTTCCCCTTACACTCAACAGCAAGGTGCCCTTTTTGCCCCTTAGCCCACTGCAGGTCTGGGTTACGCATGGCCAAGCCGCAAAGCCGTCCGAACTCGCAAGGCTTGGACAGCCGTTCCGCCATCTTGGAGACATCCACCAAGCGGATGGAGGCAGTTGCTGAGGCTGGTGGCGTCGTGTCTATTTTTTGCAGTACCCAGGAGAAGCCCAACCCCCAAAACAATTAAAGGGCTTTGTGTCAGGTAAGCAATTTCTTGCGAGACGGAAGAATGGTCCTGTTGTTTTTATGGCCAAATGGCTCGCCCAGGCAACCAAGGACAAGCAAGGAAAGCTTACAATACTTTTTGGAGTCCCAAGACTTGCGGCTCACAGTCGGAACTGCCATTTCTTTTCCGTCTCAAGCAGTTCTTCGTTCAGTTGGACAGTTTGCCATTTAAGTTGGTGTCTTCTCTTCCGTCTCCCAACTGAACAGATGAGCTTTCCCGTGCCCTGGAAAGCCACCCGCGAGGCGGCGGCTGAAGCCTGCCGCGAGGCGGGTCGGGAGTTGGAGCCCAGCCCCAAAATGGGTTCTTCCTATCGATTTCCCTTTAAAAGCCACAAGAGGGGTGCAATTGACAAAAAGGCACACCCAGAGAAAGGCGTTGTAACTTGCTTGCGAAGTGGCTTGACCATCCAAGAGGAATGCTACACGATACTCTTGTTTGTTCGATTTTTTAGGTTTTCTGCGCGTTAACGGCAATTACGAAGCACTGCGGCATCACACGCACGCCGTGTCCGACATCCCAACTTAGTCCAACTTTGCCTGATGGATGCACTTCTCGGTGCGTAGGGGTGGAAAGCGACCCAAACTGTCAAAAGGGCAAGAGCAAAGTAGGCAAAAACAAATTGAGGCCAACTGAGTCTCTGAATAGGCTACGGTCATGGGACACCAGACAAGTAAGACGCAAGCCGCTCCGGCTGTTGGGTATTGGATTGTTACCAACCCATCGGGGATACTGGACTGGATTTTGGATGCATACATCCCCATGAACGCGTCACTTTTGTTGGTTGTGTTTTGGAATTGTCGACGAGTCTCTCAACTGCTGGCAAAGGTGTAGGGCAAGCGCAAAATTGATACACATGTACATACATTACAGTACATGACGTTACGTTACAAACATTTCATTACATTACACCACATTCATCACATCACATCGCGTTACATCACAACGCATCGCATAACGTATTGCATGGCATTGTATTACATTACGAGTCGTTCCATTACATGCATGCATACATTACTTTTCATTACGTTTCATTATATACACATACACATACACATGAATATCCACACATGCATGCATACATAGACACCGATACACATACACACACATATACACACATATACACACATATACACACATATACACACATATACACACATATACACACATATACACACATATACACACATATAGACACATCTACACACATAAACCCATACAAGCATACACACCACACCTACACATACACACGTAAACACACATACACGTGCAGACACACGTACACGTAGACACATACAGACATGCACATGTACAGACATTCACACATACATACATGCGCGTACAATCATACTTACGTATGTACCTACTTACGTATGTACCTACCCACCAGCCTGCTTACTTAGTAACTTGCCTACCTACCTTCCTACTTACTTACACACATACAAAGTAGAGCATGCATGAGCGTGTGTATACAGGCATGTATGCACATACATGTATGCACATACATGCGCACACACGCGCACACACACACACAGACGCGTATGCACATGTTCTGTGTGTGTGTGACTTTTGAACTGCCAGCCCGGCCGGTCCACCGCAGACGCGCGTCGGCGGGGATAAGCCAGGATCCGGCCTGAACATATGAAGTCAACACAAGCAGAGCCCGCGAGGAGCCCACCCGAAACCACTTAGAAGAGCCAAAATCAAAATAGCTGGAGCCAGCCACTGTGTGACGCCGCTTTTGTCCAGAGACTCTTAGCGCTGCGTCAGTGACGCGGCGGAGCAGCTTCGTTGTCAATTGTTTATTCGTCCATCCATGTATTTGTTTTGCAAGACATGTATTTAGTTGTCCATATACATTCTGACAAGCTTATTCAGTTCTTTGCTTGCTCGCTTGTTTGTTTGTTTGTTTGTTTGTTTGTCATTTTTTTTGTTATCTATTGTTCATTTTAGCTTCTCTATAGTGTGTGTTTGTTTATGTAATTATTTGTTTATTCATCCATTTATTTGTTTGTTAGGGATATGTAAATGATATGGGGCCTATAGTCGGGGCCAATTGAAGGTATACCGCAGTATAGGGAGTGTAAAGTTGCAGATTTAACACTCAGGAGTAGATGCCGGGTTGGCCCAACCTCTTTCTTGGGCAAGTTCAGACTTTGGAACCCTTGTATATCGAATCTCTAAGGGAGGGGTTCCACGGGGGGGTTCGCTAAGGCTCCCTAAGGAACCCTAGAAAATGCTAAGAGCCCTACGGATCACAACATGGTTCGCTAAAGAAGCGGTTGATTTCCACAGGGGCAACTGATGCGGCAACTCAGCTGGGGCCCCGTTGAACCGTCCAGGACTTTCAGAAGGCGCGGCTTCGTGCTGAGGCGAGGGAGCGAGCGAGCGGTGCGAACTGCCAGACCGAACTGAGCGTTGTGCCCTTCTGGCCCTGGGTTTCCAGTCAAAGTTCCTTTGGTGCATTTTGCTTGGATGTGAGGACTTTAACTTTTTGCCAACTAATGGGTTTTCCACTAAACCACTAAAAGTTAAACTTTTAGCAGGGGAGCAGAAAGCAACCGAGGTTTGGTTTGTTTGCAGGGGGTCTGTTTGGAGGAATGTGCTTGACCCGGTGCCCTAGTCTTGGCAGCTGAAAAAATCTGCCAGGAATTCTTCAGTTCCATTGAAGGGCGCCGGAGTCCCGTTTTCCATGTTCTCACGTTTGGCGAGGATCCATTTTGCAGATCAAGCGCGTTGCTGAGCAAGTTGGCTTCAAGCAACAAGTTTGATTTGAGCACTCTTCACGCATTTTCTTGTTCATTTCCCGCTTGGCATGAATGTTTGTAGGAAGATGCAGGTTCAATGATACTGCGTTCAGAGCGTGCATTTCGCTCTGCGCACAAGCGCACGCTATAGCCTTCTCGCAGCAAGCGCGAGAGCTGCTTATATATATATATATATATATGTGTTGACTTGGCAAACTTGCTTGTGTTGACAGGCAGATATGCATACACCAGGTGCACCTCCAATCCCATCCTCAAATCAGGGCGTCTACATAAGCGCATTATATATATATATATAATAAACCACCTACAAATACACGGCTAGAATCTCTCTATCCCGCTATCCATCATCGCTATATCTATCTATATATATATATACATACACAATTACACCTCCAAGTCCCATACTACACCAGGCCCTGAAAGTCCATCATATGCACGTATGTTTGTATGTACGTATGTATACAGATATACATACACCTCCAAATCCCATCCCATCCCATACCACAAGCTCCTTGTCACCACCATGCGCCTTGAGGAGTTGCAGCGGGAGGTGCAGCAGGTGACCAAGGCCCAAGAGCTAACGCAGGCGGAGCTGACGGAGATGCAGAGCTCCATGGAGCGCCTTTGACCCGAATTCCAATTAAAACCATGGGATGGACGAAATCCATTTCGCACCACTTAAGAAACCCTGGAATGATTTGATTCCCTTGTAGATACCAACAAGCAATAGTTTCCCATGGTTTGAAGTGCAGGAATTTGTCCATCCACAGTAGGTGTCCGTTTTGGTTGTTTTGGTAGAAAATGGGGGGTGGCCCTGGTTGTTAACAAACACGCACAAACACACACAAATAAACACACACACAAACACAAAAGCACGCAAACAAACAAACAACCAAGCAAGCAGGCAAGCACACAGACACACACACACAAAGAAACCAAGCAACAAACGCAAACAAACAAACCAAGAACACAGCAAGCGAAGTCAACAACAAACAGTCAACCAGACAGACAAACAAGCACACAAACAAGCGAACGAACAAACTAAAGAACAACCACACAAAAAAAACAAACAAACAAGCAAACATGCAAACAAGCAAACAAGCAAACAATCAAGCAAACAAGCAAACAATCAAGCAAACAAACAAACAAGCAAGCAAACAAACAAACACACAAGCACACAAACGCGGAATGAAACCAGCAAGCAAAAACAAGCCAAAACAAACAAGCAAAGAAGCAACCAAACAAACAAACAGAAACCAAACAACCAAAATAAGTTAACAGCCAATCAAGCAGACAAACAATCAAACGAACACACGAACGGACAAACAAGCAAGCAAACAAACAGACAGAAACATAGACGAACAAACAAGCATGCAACGAAACAAACAAAAGAAGCAAGCAAACAAACAAACAAACAAACAAACAAACAAACAAACAAACAACAACACGAACACGCAAGCAAGCAAGCAAGCCAGCCAGCAAGCAAGCAAGCAAGCATGCAAGCAAGCAAGCAAGCAAACCAACCAACAAACAAGCAAACAAACAAACAAACAAGCAAGCAAGCACACAAACGAACCAAACAACCAACCAACCAAACAAACAACCAACCAACCAATCAACCAACCAACCAACCAACCAGCCAATCAACCAATTATCAACCAACCAACCAAACAACAAACAATCAATCAATTAGTCAACCAAGCAATCAAGCGCACACAAACAAACACATAAGCAACCAATCACACATACAAACCCACAAGCAAACACACAAACTCGCACACGGCCAAGGAAGCAACCAAACACACAAACAAGCACACAAACAAACACTCAAACAAACACGCAAAGAAGAACACAAGCACAAAAAACACACAAACACAAACAAACACACAAAAAGACATACAAAGCAAGCATCACACAAAAACACACACACACACACACTGACAAACACAAACACACACACACAAACACACGTTCAGACACGCACCACTAACAAACACACGAACACACAATCACGCACACAAACACAAAAAAAACACAATCACACGACACAAACGCGCACACACACACAAGCAACTATACACACACACACACACACACACAAACACACACACACACACACAAACACGCGCACACGCAGATAACACCACATATAAACACATAAGCACACGAACACACAAATGCAGCCACACAACCACACACACACACACACACAAGCACTCAAACACACAAACTCGCACACAGCCAAGGACACAAACAAACACACAAACGAAAAACGCACAAACAAACAAGCAAACAAACACGCAAAGAAACACAAGCACACAACAACCACACAACAACCACACAGACAAACAAACAAGCAAACAGATAAACAAGCATACAGACAAACAACGAACAAGCAAACAAACACACAAACACAAGCAAATGCACAGACACACACACACACCCAAACAAACTCACGAACACACCATCACGCGCACAAGCACAAACACAAAATACAACACGCACAGAACCACACACACATAGACATACACACTCACCGTGGGTGAAAATACCTATGCGAAGTGACTGTAAACTGATACGGAAAATGGTGGCAAACGGATAGGCCTTTTTGGATGACCTTCCTACTTAGTATGTGGTCAGTCGCCCTGGTCAACGAGCCCCCTAAGTATGGTTTCCATGACATAGAACCCACACTTGCAGGACTAGTTGCCCGGATATTTTTTTTCCGCCGCACGCTAAGCAGGGTGGCGATTTTCGCAAGAACCTAAGTATGGTTTCCATGACATGCTAAGCAGGGTGGCGATATTCGGAAGAAGCGACTGGTCTTTCCCGGCCATCCCGGCCCAAGGCAGACGCAGCAGCGCACTCGGAGCGAGCTGCGAAGCAACGAGGAGCGGCTGATGAGCTCCATGCAGGACCTCGAGTCCCAAGTGTCTCTGCGCCTCGAGGAGACGGCAGCCGTCGGCCGGGGGTGGGTTGGGGTCCGCTGGGGCTGAGGCGAAAGCTACCAAGTAACAGCCCGGAACCTGACATGGACCCGGTTTCTTTCAAAAGGAAAATGGTCCAAACCAGGACCCCTGTCAATTGGTGGGAGGGTGATTTACATGCAAAGAACAAGTGGAACCTGTTTTTTGGGGGATCCCTCTGGCCGCGCGCACGTGAGGCTCTCTTTATGTTCCCCAGAAAAGGGCAGGGTTCCATGTTTGGACTACCCCTAAGGTGACTGAAACGCAGGGATTTCCCTACAAGCACGCGGGATCCGATTGAAGACCTTTGGCGCTCAAAGCCGCCTGGAGGTCCCGAGTTTTCACTTTCTTGTGGGTCTACCCATGATTTTTTCAATTATTTGAGTCAAAAAGATTGAAAAACATCAATTATTTAGACCCCCCCCCCCCGGGTCTCAGGCTCGATTCCTCCCTGGTCCATCCCCCCCCCCCCCCGGGCAGTGGCTCAGTGTTCAGCAGTCTCGGTTTGCCCGTTTTGGACTTGGTGCTACGAACTTTTACATGTTCCACCGATTCAGCTTGTTCATTTGAGACCTCAGTCTTCTCGGTAAACCACCTCGCAAGAATCTTTGCACACGCTGCATGCAGAACCCAGAGGTGCTTTAAGACAGCTTCTGACGCCTCTCGTTGTTTTCATTTTTCAAGGTTTGCCACGCCACCATGTGCGTTTGCGTGTCGCATCCTACGAATCTTGCCGGGCCTCTCGTTGTACACAAGCTACCTATGAATCCACTCTGTCACCGACCCATCTCATGCAACAACTGCTAGCTTTCGTTCACCCGCTCCTCAAGTAGAAAATGTCAGTCTTTCCAAACATCCCAAAGAAAACGCCAATGGGGGATGCAAAGTCAAAATTATGGATGAACATGTCTTCTGCAGGCACGCAGGCACAAGGCTTCTAGTTTTGATGTGCCTTCGCTTCTTGCAGAGGCATGGAATTGGCCCAGGAGAACCGAACCAGCCTGGACAAGCAGACGCGGAGTGTGGGCATTCTGCAGCACGGCCGTCAGGACCTAATTAGTGAGCAGGGCAGCTTAGGGGCAATCCCAATCACAAATGGCCGCGGCTGCCCTTTGAGTTGTTTCCATAGTCTTGGGTAGATAACTCTTCTACCAGGGTTTTGATTTTGACTCACATGGGATGCACCCCATTTCTCCGAGCTATGGGAAGTCAGCACGCGAGGCCTGCAATCTTTCTCTCCGCCTGAAGCCGAAGGGATGCTTTTTGGACGACTCTATTCGGGATTTTTAACATGTAAAAGCAACCGGAGTTAGTGGGTGCTGGTTCACACGTGTTTCTTGTTTGGGAGGGGGCATGGGTGTAGTAGGCACCCCTTTGAGGGAGCCACAGATCGTGTTCTCAACCTACTGAGTTGATCTCGAATTTTGATCACTGTCGATTTTCGGTTGAGTATTGCAGCCCGATTTTCGCAAGAAAAAGGTCGGATGGGCTGTTTCTAGACTGGTACTGTGGATGGAGGAAATCCTGCACCACTTAAGAAACCCTGGAATGATGATTCTTCTGTAAATCCCAACAAACAATGGTTTCCCATGGTTTCAAAGTGGTGCGAACGGATTTTGTCCATCCACAGTATCTAGCATTTGCAGATGAACCTCACGGTCACGTTGATGTCGCGGAGCCTGGCGAAAGAATCGGACATATGCCTTTGTTGTGTTTGTATTTCTTGAGCCAAGTGAAATCCCATGGAACACCGAAGATGTTTGGGGGTATTTTGCAGGGAAGCCAGCAGGAAGTCTTTTGACACTTTATAAGTGGCTGTCAGTGAGGTAGCAGGGGTTGGTTCCCTTGTAGCCTTAGAACTATGGTGGTTTCAGCTAGTCATAGCCCACTTGCCTCACGACTTACCTGGCATGGGTTGAACACCCAAATTGGGAAGTATTGCTGAATGGACAAGAATATGTGATTGTATGTAGTGTTTAATCGTCGTTCTCTCGTAGCTGTCAATAAATTTCCCAATTGTCAATTATGTGGACTTCTCTCCTCCCTGCCTGGATGACCACGCTACGTACGATGTGGCAAAACCACTGGTTTACAAATCCCCTAGTAGCTGAACTTCCCTTCTCCGCCCTCTTCCCTTGCCTGGATTCATCCGCTTGATTCACAAGTCCCCTTAGTTCAGAAGTCCCCACGCACCCACTCACCATCAGCCAGTGTCCACCACAATCTAGGATGGTCAGGCAAGTGGTTTTACCCTTGGCTTATCCCAGCCTTACCCCGCCCCACCCCTCCACCCACCACCCCCACCACCCACCCCACCACCGGGCTTACACCACCCACCCCACCCACTCACCCCACCCCACCCACCCCACCCACTCACCCCACCACTCGCCCACCCCACCCCACCATGCACCACCCCACTCCCCCCACCACCCACCCCACCCCCGGGCTTACACCACCCACCCCACCCACTCACCCCACCCACTCACCCCACCCCACCCACCCCACCACTCGCCCACCCCACCCCACCATGCACCACCCCACTCCCCCCACCACCCACCCCACCCCCGGGCTTACACCACCCACCCCACCCACTCACCCCACCCACTCACCCCACCCACTCACCCCACCCACTCACCCCACTCGCCCACCCCACCCCACCATGCACCACCCCACTCCCCCCACCACCCACCCCACCCCCGGGCTTACACCACCCACCCCACCCACTCACCCCACCCACTCCGCCCAGTTGCCCCCGCTGGGTCTGGCGTGAGGACCTGGAGCGCTCCATGGAGGCGCTGAAGCGCGAGCTGCACCGCGACAAGGCCTCCGTCGCCGAGGCGGCGGAGAGCGCCACCCGGGCGGCCCAGGAGGCGCAGAACAAAAAAGAAAAAGCGGAGGAAGCGCGCGTGTTTTTCTTTTCCCCCAGTTTTTTTTACAGAAGGAGTTTTTTGTTGTGCTGTAAAGCTCAGAAGACACTGCGAATACCATGGTTTCGTGCATGTGGCGGTGCTGGCGTCCAGCCAGAATTTGGGTCGGAAGTCGGAGGCACCCGTTTTTGCGGTTTGCCGAAGTTTGCGGAAGGAGATTTCCCTTGAATTCATGAAGAACCAAGAGCATAGTAACTCTCATTCCGGGGCCTTGGTTTGGATGCTGAAATCCACGTGGCTCGCTCTCCGAAGACCAAAACGTTTGGAGGCGGCGGAGGCGGCAAAGAGTGCGGCAGAGGCGTCCAAAGAGTTGCAGAAGGATCATGAGGAGCTGGGTATTTTGAGTGGTTCTCAAGAATACTCCTGCGGACGTGTTTTTTCTTTAATCACTGTGCGTAGGCCCTGTTTTCGGCTGCTGGGCAGCCCAGTAATTCGTTTCGCCCTGCAAGGACAAGGCACAGACATGGAGTCTTTTGCGCCAGAAGAAGAAGCTGGGCCCTTTTTGACTATTCGGGCTTATCAAAGTCAGAATCTATATTCCGCTAGCCCCTAACACCTGTGGGGTGACTTCGAGAAGGGAAAAATCCAGGCCAGTGCTGGGACACACACCAAGTGGACGACTCCCCGCAAAAAAAAACAGAGTACTAGCTGAGCATATTTGGAACCAAACTGGGGGCTCAAGTGAGGCATTGCACCCACAGCAGGGCTTAGGAATTTGCGGCAGAAGATATAGCCAGGCCTGTGGCCAAGTTGGACAACACCGTTTTAAGCTTAAGTAGGCTCAACATGGCCTCGTGTTCTAGGCGAACTTAGAGCACTCCCCCCCAAGAAACACATACACACACAAAACAACTTCCGAAGCATTGCCAATCCGAGCACTACATGACCGGAATTGGCGTCAATTGCTTGAATCCTCTCCTTTGGCTGCAAGGCGTGACTCATTAAACCCCCTCCAAAGCAGCCCATGTCACGGCTGGCAGGGCCGAGCAGGCTCAACAAAGCTTGAATAAGCTCAGTCAAGCTTAACTGACTTTTGCCAGCCAGAACATGATCTTAACATTTGTTTGGGAGGGGCGAAAGCACAAAGCTCGAGCCACTGCAACATGTCTCAGACAGCGCAAAAGCGTCGCCGCGTTTCGCGAGACTGCCGCAGCAAGGTGCGCATGCGTCATGAACTTGAGGTGCCTTTTTGTTGCTGTTACAACGCAGTTGGGCGTTGTGAATCTCCCTTTTTGTTCTTCGGGCTTCAGGAGTTGTCAACCTTTTTTCTGTGTTCGTTTTAGCCCCCCGGGTTTTGTGTGTTTAGGTTTTAGGTCCCCCAGTAGTACCCTTTCTCACCCCTTTTTTGGGGGAGGGTTCCCCTACAGAAGAAAGGGTACCCTTATTCTAACCTCTCTACTATAAACACCTAGGTGTTTGTGGTGTTTTAGGTCCAGTGTGCGTGTGTGTGTGTGTGTGTGTGCGGAGCATCATATTTACCCTGATGCCAACTTGTCAACATGCAGGGGGGCAACGGACACTCTGGGTCGCGTTGCCCAACGAAGACCGTCCAGAGTTGTCGTGAAGCAACACGGGACGCCGTGCTGTGTACCTGCAACATTTGCGTGATTCTGAAAGTCTTTTTGGCCCCTTGGTTGCGGCGCTGTTTGTGCTTCTTGTTCTTTCGGGTAACGTTTTCGCCTCTAGAGGGAAGCCGGGTGCTTTGCGAGCCGAAACTTATTCATGAAGAACCTTATCCAAGCCGAGACTTACCAGTTGTACTCGAAAGGATTAGCACCCTCCATCTGGAGTCTAAGTGTGTACACCCCATTCGTGGGGAATCCTCGGGTGTACCCATCGTGTGACCCCGGGCCGGCTTTGTCGGAAAATTTGACCTCAACGTGCTTATCATAGAACAGCGGAATTTCACATTTAAGCAGGAACGAGGTTTCACTAAAGGGAAGACAGCCACCAGATCATAGCTACGTCTCACAAGTGCCTGGGAGCTGCTTGCTGATTGCATCCATGCCGTTGAACTTGATGTTCTGGTTGTGCAATGCTCGGGTTGTGCGTGCATGTTCTGTTTGCGCAATGCTTGTTCCATGATGTTGCGGATCGTCTTGTCAAGGTCGTCTGGCAGGCTGAGCCACCCCTTGCGTAGGTCCGTTTCAAGGTCGTCTGGCAGGCAGAGCCACCCCTGGCATAGGTCCGTTTCGAAGTCGTCTGGCAGGCAGAGCCACCCCTCGAATAGGTCCGTTTCAAGGTCGTCTGGCAGGCTGAGCCACCCCTTGCGTAGGTCCGTTTCAAGGTCGTCTGGCAGGCAGAGCCACCCCTGGTATAGGTCCGTTTCGATGTCGTCTGGCAGGCAGAGCCACCCCCTCGAATAGGTCCGTTTCAAGGTCGTCTGGCTGAGCCACCCCTGGCATAGGTCCGTTTCAAAGTTGTCTGGCAGGCAGAGCCGCCCCGTCACTTGCCCCTGTGGGGGCGTGTGTGTGCGGAGCATCAGATTTACCCTGATGCCAACTTTTCAACATGCAGGGGGGCAACGGACACTCTGGGTCGCGTTGCCCAACGAAGACCGTCCAGAGTTGTCGTGAAGCAACACGGGACGCCGTGCTGTGTACCTGCAACATTTGCGTGATTCTGAAAGTCTTTTTGGCCCCTTGGTTGCGGCGCTGTTTGTGCTTCTTGTTCTTTCGGGTAACGTTTTCGCCTCTAGAGGGAAGCCGGGTGCTTTGCGAGCCGAAACTTATTCATGAAGAACCTTATCCAAGCCGAGACTTACCAGTTGTACTCGAAAGGATTAGCACCCTCCATCTGGAGTCTAAGTGTGTACACCCCATTCGTGGGGAATCCTCGGGTGTACCCATCGTGTGACCCCGGGCCGGCTTTGTCGGAAAATTTGACCTCAACGTGCTTATCATAGAACAGCGGAATTTCACATTTAAGCAGGAACGAGGTTTCACTAAAGGGAAGACAGCCACCAGATCATAGAGTTGGCGTGGTGTTCCTTGGTGTGTGTGTTTTTTTGTTGGCGTGGTGTTCCTTGGTTTCTCGCCCACCGGGGCGATGTTTTTTGCCGGCCACCGTGGCGGCGGTCGGCTCCAGGAGCTGGGCCAAAGTTTGACCCAGAGCCTCGAGAAGTGGAGCCTGCAGGCATTGGATCGGTGGGATCGGTGGGGGCTGGACGGAACGTGGGGCGGATGGGGCCGGTGTGGGTCCTGGAGGTTTTTGTTTTTTGTGGGGCTTTTTAGCGGGGGGTCGTCCCCTGAGTTTTTTTCTTGAGCTTTGTGGTTGGTTTGGTGGGCTTCCATTTAGCCGTTCCTGAGGTGTTTTAAGCTGTTTGATGGGTTTTGTGCTTGGGTTGTCGCATTTCATCCGCTGAAAGTTAAACTCTTGGCAGGGGAGTCGAGGACAGCCCAGTTAATATCAGGTGTCCCATGTTATGAGTCTCTCACTATTGGGGCAACATGGCTATGGGTCAATAACTACTTACCCGAAATGAAGCACCGCTACGTGGAGCCGGGATTTCGCCGGTCGGGTGGTTTCATTTTGAACCACCAGCCACATGTTGGGTCCAGTCTGGGACACCAAGCGCGCCGCCGGAAAACGCCCGGGTCGCCCGGGTCTCGGCGGCGGTGGAGGTGCGCGGTCGGTCAGGCCCAAGAGGAGGCGGCGGGCAAGGTGCTGGAGGCCCAAGAGCTGGCGGTGAACGACCTCGCCAAGAGCAGCCCGGGTGCAAGAGCCGACCCTTTTGCCCTTGTCCCTTTTTTTAAATATATATATATATATATTAACCTTCCTTTTGACGCAACTTAATTCTTAAATTGGCAGAAGTCAAAGTCAAGTTTTGGACGGAGCGGTCAAAAGCCTTCGGGATGCGAAGTGCCGTTTTGTTTCTTCTGCTGGCTTCAGATGCCCGGAAGGAGCTGTTTCCTTGGTTTTCTGCAGGGGTTTGCCCTGCAGCAACGGCGAGTCGTTTCCAGCTCAGGCATGGACAGGCAGCGATGGCAGATGAAAGAGGACCCTTTGGCTACATGTTGCCCTCCCCACCATGGTGTTGTCCTTGTCAAGATAAGTTTGCAAGTATTTGTCGATGTATGGCCCCACAAGTGCAGGAATCCTTTTCGAGGCACGCGACAAGTTGCCCCAAGGGACAAAAAGAACACGATCCAAACCCGGAACCTCCGGTGAGGTTCGGCGTGGGATGTCTTGCAATGCTACAGAATGTGATTCATAATTCACTCGCACAAGTACACAACAGGAAGTACGGCGACATGTGGTATAGCATTTCAGTTTTCCGAGGCCTTTGCTTGGGGAAATGATTTATTTGATGTGGGCTGAGGCAATTGAATTCTTGGCGCCGGGTAGCTTTGAATTGAAATAGCATAGCACTGAATGATTGCAATTCTGTAGCCGAAGCCATTTGATCCAGAGCTTGCTGAGCTGAGCCTGGCGTGAGGAAGATGCCACGGCTCTTGACAGGATGAAGGCGGTTTCCCGTCTTACCCCCCCTTCGACCGAACAGCCAATGTCCAAAGCGAAACCATGAAGATTAATTCGGGATAAGTTTGGCGCAACACGTATCATGCAGTCAGAAGTCTTCCAGATGGCTCGTATGGCTCTGCGTCAGAATCAGGGAATCCTCTGAGTTCTCAATGATGAATTCCCCCAAAAGGGTGTGCAAAGGATCCGACACATTCTGTCTCTGGCTTATCAACCTGCCTGAACAGCGTTCATCAATTTCCCTTGGAATTGCAAGTGTCACTTTGTTTCAGCTGTTTCTCTTTGCGGCCCTAACCTGGTTGTCCAGCAGCTGCTGTGTAGTTGGTCTCCCACTAAAACTCGTTACCCTCACTCCCATAGAAGCTAAGATCCCAAGAGAAGGGAACACTTCTAAGGGCCTCCGGTGCGGGTGGGGATGCACATGTAGTCTTGTAAACTGGAACCGTAGTGCCTTTTACCCCTTTTTTGGGGGAGGGTTCCCCTATGAATATAGGACTACAGAAAAACAAAGGGTACCCTGATTCTAGCCTCTCTGCTGGAGGACCTGGCCAACCACAGGGGCATTTTCAAAATGCATTTGTCAATTTGCCGACCCAAAAGGCCAACAGGACAGCCCGGCAGCCCCATGGAAGTCGCCAGGAGCATCTGAAGACCCGGGAGGAGCTCATGCAGGCACTGGATGGCCCTTCTGGGTAGAGCTTCTCCATGTCTACGGTATTTATTTTACTACTCACGGATCTTTATGAAGGTTCATTTCGGATGTTTCGCATTCTGCTATCAGATCTGCTTGCTGTCAGAAGGCAGATGTTGTCGTGGCTGACGGGAATGCGCGTCAGTGATATCAAGTGCCAGATCGGTATAGTCATAGTGATTTGTCATGAGAGCTGGTGCAGTTCCGGTCAGAAACAGATGCAGCCGCTCGCGTTTTTTTTTTTTGCATGGCCTCAATTAGACCTCTTGTCCACACTTTGGGTTGTGGCTCCGTGGCTCCCGTTCCCCTGAGTGCGCTGCCAGAAACTCTGACACATTGTTGGGGACTACAAACGTTGGGGACTACAAACAACCTCAGAGTGCCAGGGCCGACATGCCGTTTTATGAATGGTCACCACCCATGCATGTCTGGGTTTTCCAGGTTTCTTCACTCATGTTTCGACCAACCCGCAGAGGGGGTACGCCGTGCTCAGGGTTGGGCTCCTATGTTCAAGCATCTTAAACCACCTACTGTTTAAACATGTTTAACCACAGGAAGGTCCTTGCAAGGTGGCCATGGTAGCACATTTGGGTGTGGGTCAAAACCAATGGTACCATTTTGGGGTAGGTGAATTCACCACCCATTTTAGAACCTATTTTAGTGGTTGGATTGGGTCCCGTTCACTGGGTACGATTTGGCTTTTGGTTTTGACTGGCCATAGCCCTCCGAGCCCAAGAAGTCCAGCCGTGCGACGTCCGGCCCCGCAGTCTCAAGGAACCACATGGTTCAAACATCTTAAACCCAGGGCCCATTGTTTATAAACTATGTTGAACCATAGGAAGGTCCCCTTAGGTGGCAGCACACTTGACTGCGCTATAGAAAACTCGCCCAAGAAGCCCAGAGGCCCAGACGCCCCGCAGTCAGATGGGGGGGGCGGCAGGTCATCAAGAGCAACACCGCGGTCTTCGACGGGAAGGTGGCGGAGCTCCAGGGGCGGCTGCAGCTGCTCGCCGCCGAGGCGTGGGGACCCCGCGGGAGGAAGGGCCCAAAAACGTACGGTGGAGGGGTTGCGAAAAATCTTCATGTCGCATTTCTAAAGGTCCGGGGCTCCGAAAAAAAAGAAAAAAAACAGAAACGAAATCCATTTGACCGCCATTTGAAACATGTGGCTTTTTCAACACCAAAATAAAGGGAAACCACCATTTGCAAGGCAATGTTCAGGTGTATGAATGTAAGGATCCCTGTTGAAGCCGTGGCTAAAACCATAAGGTTTGTTGGAATTTACAAGAGAAGCATGATTCCAGCGATTCTTAGTCCATGCAGAGTAGGAAACCCCGGTGATTGACTGAGGGTTTCTTGGAGGCTTCGGATCATCTTTGGCCACGTCTTGGTTGCCAGTGTTTTCATGAAAGTACTTTGTGCTGATGTGAATGAAGCACGGGGCCCGGACGATCGGCATTGAAACATGCCGCTCTGCGTGTGAGCAACAGAAAGACATATTGTCCATCTGAGTCCCCAGTGTTAAATCACATTTGGGCATGCTCCATGGGCTGATTGGTTGGTCTATTGATGGACGAAGTGCATTGCAAGCACTCTTTGGCAATCAGGCGAAAGCTGAGAAGCCAAGTGAAAGGAACTGCATCATCCAGACTAAAACAGTCTCAGAGATTGCTTTAGAAGCATGTGTTGCAGGCAGCTTCTTTTGCTTAAGGAGCAAAGACACGTCTGGGAGAGCGCTTGACATTCTCCCCCGCAAGGGTGAATTAATTGAACCTTACCCCCCAAATATGTTCCCTAATCTAAGGGGCGGCGTACCCCAATCAATTCCCCGACATTTCCACGGCGGTCTTTAGCAGACAGCTGGCGTTTGCTGACATTTGCAGGCTGATGTTTTAGGGCTGGCAAAGAGAGGGAGAGAGAGAGAGAGAGACACGGAGTTCTTAAAGCAGTTTTCTCAATCCTCATGAACAAGCGTCAGCAAATGGATTTGACCGGACGTCTTCTACCGGCCACACAGTTGCCAAGACGGGGCATTTCACGAACAACTTGGGAACCCAAACTCGAATGTTAGAGGAAGCCATGGAGATTGTTCCCATTTTCTCGGGGCCTGCATTGATCAGAGCATGGGTGTCTCCTGAAACTGGAAACGGCTCCTTTTGAAATGGTTTGCCAGAGCAAATCCCAGCAAAAACGGTAGAGTATCGTGTTTGCGTGGAAGCACTACCATTTTTGTGTCAGAGTCCATTCTTGTGTGATGTGTTGACCAACGGCTAAGCCCGCAAAAATGCGGTTTGCTTGACCCCTTCAAAGGATTCCACATGGGAGCCAGTGTCATCCTTGAAGTATTGCGATGGAGACCTTTGATCATGACGCATTCCGGAAGCGGCTCCCAAAAGATCAAGGAAATGATAGTGTAGCTTTCTGGGCTAGCCGGTTGGGCTTTCTGGCACGTCCCTCCCCTTGCCGTGTTTTTTGGGTTGTTTGAATAGGGTTTAGGGGTTGACCTTTTGACCAAAGGGGCCTTAGATTGTTTTATAAAATTCTCCAGTGACACGCCTTATCACACCCATATCAACAGGCCCTGGTCCATCTGTTCTGCTTTATTCCTCCAAAAGTCTCCTGGGCCCCCCACAGCACGGCGGTTCGGCAGTTCCGGTTCCAGGCAGGCCGCTCCTTGGGGGACCTCAACGTGGACATGGAACGTTTGCGGCGCAGCGGTGGAGACGAGGACTGTGCGAAGCGGAAGATGGGCACTTCTAGCCAGGGTCATGTGTGCTAGCTATTTGAGGCTGCCCTTTTTCTGGGTTTGTTTGAAGGGATACCAAGGGAACTGAGGGAACCCCCCCCCTCCCCCCCAAAAAAAGGAAAACAGGAAGAAACAGACACAGACACAGACACACACGCACACACACACACACACACACGGAAATCATTGAAAACTGGGCTTTAGCTCCACTGCTTTTTACCTTTGAAGCGATGAAGTAGAGTGAGCCCACGTTGGTTCTCGAGCGGGGTATTTTTCTCAGCCATGGGCACTCCTGGCACTGAAAAGTAGAAATCGATGGACGACGTATTGTTGGGTCTGCGGGATGGCTAGGGCTAGGAGCTCTGACGGTGTTGGCGACATCTAGGGAGAACTGCATCAAGCAAATAAAACGCCCAAGTACCCTCCCACCAACTAACATGGAAGTGCACATATTTTGGGTAGAACGACTGTTTTTCCTCTTGGAAAGGGGCTCTACGTGCACGAACCCATGTTAGTTGGTGGGAGGGTAAAAAAAGAGATTTCGCTTTTGCTTTATCTACCGAACGGTTCGGTCCCGAGGCTTATCACAGGGTTCCATCCTGTCGGACTGCCATGGACTGGACTGAGTTCGAGCTGTCCAGAACCCCAAAGCCAGCCATTTTCGCCGCCGGGAAGTGAAACGAAGTGCAAATTGACGGTTCTTGGAGATAGCCGCAATTGATTCGTTGCATCTCTGTTCGCTTCCAGTTTTTGGCGCCCAAGCCCCAGGTCTTTGGGAGGAGTGAAGTTTCTCTCTTTGCCGAAAGGAGACGATGACCTCCTCCTTGAGCTTGCCTGGGCTCAAAGACCTGCGCAACGCCTGCGTGGATGAGGTGAAGCGTCGTGAGCAGGAGCGGAGCTGGCAGGCGACAAGGCAATTGTCGGCCCAGACCGTGGCGATTCCCGTTTTGCATTGCTGGGCTACAGAAAAAGGGTACCCTTATTCTAACATCTCTACTGGAGGACCTAGTTTGGTCTGGAAGGGGTTTCTCCAGTGGATTGCGTTCCCGCGTGTTCCTGGCGGGGAGCCCTGTTTGTCCCTCCGCTGGTTTCCAGAAAGACAGGCAGTTCCTTTTTAATTTGTTTTTCCCGTGTGCCTGAATATTGAATGAACGCAGGGCCACCAAACGAGGCTGATCAAAAGGGTTGCCACCGCCAATTTGCCAGTTGAAGTACCCCTCCGGTGGGTGGAAATGAAGAGTTCCTTCCGAGTTGGTCCATTGGTTGCTTCCAGATCGGTGTGCCTCAAGTTTTTGAGAGCTGGGGTTACACAGGCCTTAGACCAATTGCTTTCATTGACTCTTTTTGTTTTCAGAGCTAGGGTTACACAGTCCTTGGACCAATGCGTTCATTGACTTCTTTTTTTCTCTGAGATAGGGTTACACGGGTTTTTAGTCTTTCCATTTGCCAAGGCACCATGTGGATATGGGTCAAAATTAAACCACCAGGGTCACCAGGATATGGACCGCAGGAGCTTGAGTCCTTGTTTCCATTACCAGGGCAACCCATTTGGGGGTTGCTCTATTTTTGACCCACACCCACGTCGGGTTCCGTTTCTTTTTTTCGAGCCCCACGCGGAGGAGTCCCAGCGTGTGGCTGAGCGCCTGCAGGGTACGGACTCCACGCGCCTGCGGAGGTATGGCCAGGACGGGGGACACCAACTTTTGGGCATCGGGTTGAAGGAGACGCAGTCCCTGAGTTCATTGACTGTAAGGTTTAGGGTTTAGGGTGTAGGGCATTTGTTGGTTGCCATCCTTCATGTACACGAGCGTTTGTCAGATCCTATATCAACCAGATACCAATACTTTCATGCTCTGTCCAACAAACATGCCCCGACGTATGGTCGCAAGGCGAACATGTGTCACGGTCAACAGGAACTGGCTTTAACAAAGGGCAATTCAACTTAGCCCTGTGCCAATGGTTCCAGCCCTCGCCTTTCCAACCGTTTGCATTCGCTCACCCACATAAGGGGGTACAGGTTTCCTTGCTTTGTGGACACTACTTTCTACGGAAACACTATGGTTGGCCTTGACCTCAGCCAAGCTGAAGCTATACGTGATCATACATAAATCTCGTGCATAAACAAGCCCCTTCAGGTAGGTGTTGCAGATTCATGATTTGTTTGGGATCCAACTCCCGGAAAAAAAAGCCCATTCCCACTTGCCTGGTACCCAAATTGCCTTGTTCTTTAGCCAAGTTGCCAAGTCGCTCCAGCCCCAGACCAGCTTAGGGGCACTTCAAAACAAGAGCAAATTCAAACAGCTTTGAACTGAAAGTGGTGATTTCAATTCTACGGCTTGTTTTGTCCAATGCTTAATTTGTTGTTGCGTTTTGGCCCGTTCCCTTAGCCAAGGAGTCACTTTGATGGTAAAGTAGCTTGTGGTCATTTCTTTTTTTGGGTCAGCACTCAGATGGCTGACATACTGTTCAGCATACCGGGTTGCTCTGAGCCAGTGATTCGTAACTCGCACGTGGTCAACTAACCAGCCCTGCGGTTTTCGGGTCGGATTTGGGGCCCCCCTCCCCCCCCACATTTTTTGGTTCACCCGTGGTGGTTTTTGGGTTTGGCTTGTGGGTTTTCACCTCTGTGGTGCTTTCCTCCGGGTTTTTGGGGTACCCCCCCCCCCCAATTTTGGTTCACCCGTGGTGGGTTTTGGTTCCTCGGGCTCACCCCGTGGTTTCTGTTTTTCTCAGGACGACAAGGCCGCGCCCTTCACGGTGCTGGACGGGCTCAAAGGCTGCGAGGTGGCGCTCACCGCCATGGACCGCCGCGTCACCAACCTGGAGGCGCGAGCACGTCGGTCCGCACACGCGCCGGTGCCTTCCGTTTTTTCGTTTGGTACCTTCCCCATTCTTTCCAGGGATCCGAATCTTTTATCAAAAACCGAGGGGAATCAGCCCCTAGATTTAATGTTGACCCCGGATTATTAGTCAACCCCAGGTAATTAATATGGGGGTGTCCCTGGTTTTAGTGGGGATATGGGGGTGTCCATGGTTTTAGTGGGGATTCATCACTTTTATTTGGGAGGGGAACACCCCCATATTTATTAATCCGGGGTCAACATTAATAGGCTATTAATAGGTGGCTCGTCTTTTTTGGAGACCCACGGGAAAGTGGCGCGCCACGGTGTTGCTTTTGGTTCCCCTTTAAAGCCCAAAAGAGAATGGGGGCCCTCAAAGAAATTTAGAAAGACACAATTTCACCTGGAGGGTATCTGGAAGATGAATTTCTTCTAGGGAGCCCTTGTCAGGTGCCATGTCAGTGGGGGGTGCGAAGGAGCTAAACACGACGAACAACTGGCTATGAACACGGGGGCAAACGTGCCAGTGCTTTGCCATAGTGGTGCCTGGAGTCTCTTGCAGCTTGTCCCAGCTGTCTTTATAGGGTTTGAATCTCCCTTGTCATAATGTTGACCAAATATGCCCAGCTGCCCGGCTGCCCTGTGCAATCAGCACAAAGACAACCAGAGGACAATCGGGCTCAACCTGGTCCCGAATTTCAACAGCTTTGTTCCAGACATGTTTACCTTGCTGTTAATATGCTTAGCTTCCTGTGACTGGTTTCTCTGTTGATATTGCTTAATATTTTAATAAGATTCCCATGGTTCCCGGAACATGGACCACATGTGGAGCAGACTTTCATCGTATCATTTTTCGCACAGAGCACAAAGCTCAAGTGGCAATGTAGTTGATGGGGGGTTCAACGGGGGAGGTTCCAGGGGAGCGAAAACATGGGGAGGTATCACGGGTACATAGCTGCATAGGTTGGATCTGCGCTGCGGACAGAACTGCCTGTTTGATAGCTGGCAGGTGTGGGAAATTTCGGTGTGCCCCTGCTATGTCCTTCCCAATTCAGCAGAGACTATCCATGATTATTCAACAAATACAAATATGTACACATGTATATGTGTACATATATGTATACGTATATATATATATATATATTAGTATGTATGTGTGGTGTGGCCGCTGCGCCTGGTTTTGTGTTGGTGTTTGAAGTGTTTTGAGTTGGGGTCACATTTCGAAGGTGTTGGCCAGTTCACTCAGGCATGCCATGAATCATTAAACTATCAGATGGGCCCCTGTCGATTTTTCGCTTTCTGTCGTGTTCTGCTCAAATTTCAGGACTGCCTGGAGGACAAGCTCTATGACCTGGTGCGCCTGGATGTGAACAAGCACGCGGCCATGCAGACGGGGCATCTCCAAGAGATGGAGCAAAAGGCGTGTCGCTGGTTCGCGCGTTTCGTTTTCCAATGGGCAGCTCGACAGGGTTCCTCAACATCAATCCTCAATTCTTATGCCGAAGCTTACATCTTTGTTGCACCATCCAAATTTGGAGTTTTCCCTTTGCTGCAGGTAGATCGTGGGTCCTTATATGCCAAATGGTGTTTTCCATTGTAGGCTTGTCCCAATACGGATTTCGGATTGCGGATCCTATTTTGAGAAACCCTGGCAGAACAGATAAGACGAAAGAGCGGCGTGCTTCTACATTGGCTACGTGGGACCCCCCAAAAAGTGAAGTCAGCGCCGAGCAAGCTAGCACTATTGGCAAGAGCTTTTCTTTTGCAAAGAGGATCCGGACTAGGGAATCTGAAGCCATTTGTGCCCGGCAGGTTGCTCAGCGTTTTTGTTTTGTGTTCGTTCCTCTCTTTTTTTTGGGGGGGTTATGCTTCTTGCGGGTACGCTCCTTCATGAAGCATGTGTGTCACATCTGTGATCCATTTGCCATTCCGAAGGCTCCGAATCATATGTTTCAGCGCTTGATCATGATCCCTTGAATCATTGAAGTACGATCCCGGGGGAATTTGGCAAATCGATTTACGCCTGATGCTTTTAATTTTACGAGAAACATATAATATGTATGTATATATAGGGTATGTGTTAGCGGCATCATACCAGGGTTGTTAGACATACACACACACAGACACACACGCAAATTTGCATGATTCGCGTTCATTGGCTATAGAACCCATTGACTTCAGTGAGCACTACAGCAGGTGGCCTGTGGACATCATGGAGCAAGTCTAGGAGACACGCATGTCGTGACACAGCAAGGGGCAGGGATAGACCCGGACACTTAGAATAGGGGGACTCACATGGGGGTGCACCAATGCCAAGTATTGCAACTCGCTCAAGTCACGAAAAACGGCTCCAAGCAGAGATTTGATGGTATGTTCTCGTGAGTGATGTTAGAGTCAAGGGTTCGGCTGACGTTCAGAAAATATTCTCTCTCAGCCCCAGTTTTGGCCATAACTTTCCCATGTGGAAGTCAAATCCTTCTTTATTTGGTGGTTTCCCTGAACGTCATCCCATGTTTTAGAGACCTTTTGATCAACCCCATATTTCATATACCATGATTGAAATGTGGGGTCATCCACTTAGATTTCTTGCAGACCGAACAGCGCCCAGATCAATCCCACCATTGCTTGAAACGGATGCTCGCTGAATCCCATTGTTTCAGCCAGGCGTTCTGCTTCGGGCCTTGAAGAGAACCCTTCCTCCCACTAGCTTGCAACCAAATTGTCCTCTTTTCCGGGCCGAAAAAAGCGAGGAGTCCTGCCTTGTGGGTGGCGGTGCGCAGGTGGAGAAATTGGTGCACACCCTGCACACGCCTTCGGGTCATGAGAGCGCGTCCTTGTACCAACCCCCTGGGCCCTTGGGCAGCCGCGACACCTGGCGCCAGCAGTTCCGGTCCGCGCTGAGACTCAGCTGAAAGCGGCGGGGAATCTGAGGGTTTTCTTGGGTCCAACGCATCAGCGGGAACTTCGAAAGGGAAATAAACCATTTTTGGTAATTTGAAACCACGGCTGGAATCAGATCATTCCAGGGCTTCTTAGGCGCAGTATTTCATCCATCCACAGTATTGATATCCCCCAAGCAGTCCAACATGACACACGGCCAAAGCAGCACCTCTCGTGACTCAACGCCTCAGAGTCGTCGGCTTCCACCTTCAGGCCCAAGAAGGCGGGTGCTGGGTTCCCAAAATGGTCAACATGGGCAACCCAACAAAGCTACCGGGGTCACTGGGCGACTGTGAGCCAGTTTGTGGTCAGCATTTGGCTTTGCGCAGTCACCCCCGACGAGCGCTCGGGTGTCCGCTATAGGAATTCGACCTGTACGTGCGGACGTGTGCGGGGTCACCCGTGCCATCCGGACATCCCAGTTTTTGGGTCGGCTTCCATCTTGGAAGCTTAGTTTCCTTTTGACGTCCCTTTTATGCCGTTTCGGTGCGTCTTTTTTGAGGGTACCATTTTGGGAAACCCAAAAGAACCCCCCCCCCCCCCGCCCTTTTTTGGGTCCCCCTAAAAAACAACACACTTTCTTGTTGGCCATCTTCTTGGTAGCGGTTTTGGTGATTCTACCTGGTTTAATATTGGCTTTGCTGAGGCCGAGAATTATTTAATGTCCCAACCACCTCCACAGAACCAAAAGGAAAGGCCGGACATGGCATCATCTACGTGCGTTCGGGGTGCTTTGCTTTGTCTACAACTGGGCTTGGCTAAGGAACGACTCCACCTACGTGAAGCGTGCGCTGCAGACCAACAGCCGCCTCGACCTCTCAGATTCGACTGCACGGCCTTGAGGCCGTGGGCAGCCGGCGGTGAGGGCAATATGGTGAGCACCACCTGGGTATGGGTCAACATTGAACCACCAGGATATGGACTGCAGGATTTAGTCAACTTGTTTTCGTTTAGATACCAGGTTGCCATTTTGGGGTTACCAATTTTTGAGCCACAGACAAATATGCTGAACCCAGTGGATTAGAATGCAAGTTCGGATTCACCATTGCAGCCCAAGAAACCCTCAAGCAAGGGTGGCATCTGAACTCCCTTCAAACACGTGTGTGTGTTTTGTGTTTTTAGGATTCGGACCCCCCAAAATGGTGGGTTTTCTTTTTGGTTTGGTTCTAAAAATAAAAATAAACAGAAGACACCATGTACGCACGAAAGGCCAGACTCGCCGGTGACATCACCGGCTTTGGATGTTTCAGTGTCATGGGAACCCAGGATGGAGATCCATGCTTGTTGGCGATATTTGTGACATCCTGCGAGATACGTTCAACAACCAACGGAATGACAAGGCATGCCTACGTGCAGAACATATTTATTATATATATATAGATACCCATATGCATGTATGCACAAGCACATGCAACGAACGTCATGTACATTGGACGTCATGTACATTGGGGGTTGCACCGCCTACAATTACCATGGGCGAATTGGGCGAGCAAAAGAACACTCCGAGCTATCATTTGGGGGCCGCTGCCTTCTTTTGCGTGTTTGTGAATTCTGGTTTTGGCGTAGCCTTAGGCCCGTAGATCTGTTGAACATTGTTGGAGAGTCCAACTTCTTGCTGGTTCTCAGGGAAGGGAATGACCCCTGTAACCCATTGACTATGGTTTCCTTTCAGGGAGCCTAGGGCATTCCCAACACCCGCCCCGGCAAGAAGCATTGGACCCGAAAACGGCGAGATACATTTCCGATAATTTTCCGCTAATTGATAATCTCCGTTTGTCAGTAGTAGATGGCACTCCCCCCACAGTTTTTGAGCCATCTACTCTCAAATCAGAGTACTACTTCCCACTTTGGATCCAGGGTTCCCTACGGCAGCCTAAGCCTACGGCTTCTCCCCGTTCTTCCGCGCTCGCGCGCCAATGTGCCGTTCTTCCAAAACGAAGGGTCCATGTACCTGCCTCAAGGCGGAAGGAACCAAGGGCTCTTCATTTTGGACTGGCAGGTCCATGATGGTCCATACTGGTTGCAGAGAGCCAAAGAAGCTCTTGCAAGTCTGGAGGGGGAGACTGGGAGTCATTCACTAATTCTGACGCACCTTTGCTATGCATATTCCCGAGAATGTATCTGCGTTTGTCTCTTCAAACATGTGCCGAGCCCGTTTTGAGGACAACTATTTTAACCCAGGTGTTCTGGGCTCCGAATCTCCCCGTCTTGACCACCGGTGCCTTGCCCGCTGGTCAACCACGGGCGGGCAGTTGATGCTGACAGGGATCCTCAACATGGACTTGCCGTTGCCATTGCAGGGGATAGAGCGCAGGACGATTCATGTGATTCTTACTCCAATGTGGAATGGCTCTTGCTCCATCTTGAACCACGCTGAAGATCTCTGTGTACATTAGCCGTGGATGTGGGGGCACTCTGTGACCAGAGTGGTTCAGTGGTCTCCGGCGCTTCGGCAGTTTGATAATTATGTCCCGCAGTAGTGCCCTTTTACCCTTTCTTGGGGGAGGGTTCCCCTACTAAAATCGACTACAGAAAGAAGGGTACCCTTATTCTAACCTCTCTACTAGAGGACCTAGAAGACTTTGACAGCTCCTCGGACTCCTTGAGCAAATGAGTTGGGAAGACCAGCGATTGAAGAGTGGGCGCCATGGGTCCACAATTCGACGTGGAAGTTGTTTGTGATAGGTGGAGTCAGTTCCTCTGGGATCTGGCGTTCTCTAGTGTCTCGCATTGCTACTTGTTCTCATCAAAAGTGAGCAGAACATACTATCATGTAACATCAGACATCAGAAAGCAAAGCAGAGCCTAACATCAGAAGGTCAAGAGCTGGCTTATCGATTGGTATCAACAAAGACTTAGCTGGCATCACGGAGTCTGGTTGGAATGCTCCTTTTGCCCATAAAGGCTTCCCTGCTCAACTTGCCAGCGGTTTAATGTGGGAAGATGTGTTGAACTTGTGCCTGCGCCAACACCAGAAACTGTAGTGCATGTTCACGATATGATGCAGTAGGTCAGCACTTGACAGTCACACTGAGTCGACTGATTCAGATGGTAAAGGAACCCTACTAGCCCCTAATAGGTCTTGTTCGTCGCTGCTGGCCCCGTTGGGATTGGGGAATCGGCCCCTGGGGTGCCCTTGACAACCATTTGAAAACACTGCTCGAGCTGTACGGACGAACGCATCATCCGGACTTGTGCCTTGGATGAAGCTTCCAACGCAAGAGGCCAATGCCAAGGGCACGCAGCAGCGTTGCCAAAATGCCCGGGGCGCAGGGCCTGCAGGGTGCGTCGTGTCGCCTTCCAAAAAGAAGAGCAAGAAACATGAAACCTGAACGGACCCCCTAAATGATCATTTTTGATCTAGCAGGGATCCTTTTTTCAGGTTTCGCGTTTGTTTTTGGGATGGTAAGTGTCGCACTCATGGGTAAGTCGGATGCGTTTTCCGAAAGCATCAAGGACGCCCTTAATCGTGTGCATGCTCAAGATGTTTGTGTCCGGGTTGTTTCCCTTCATTCCTACATGCTTAGGAAAACTGCTTTCGGATTGTGAACGGGCCTATGATGATGCCTACTCAGTGCCGTGAGGCGAGTGAGTAGCAGGTAAAGCATACCAAGTCGAAGGAAGCAACATGCCCACGAGCTCAGTCGATTGACCACAGTAAAGAAAGAGCAAGACTTGTTGATGGCTTTTTCCTGCGATTCTGCCGAGTGCTGAATCAGCTTGAGGATTTAGAGAAGAGCTGCATGCAGATTGAAGCAGTTTGTCATGATGCTGACGGCCTTTCGGGCTGCTTATGTATTTGTTTGGCCCAGAAAATGGATCACACAATATGAGAGGGATGGTTTGTTTGCCAGCCGGCGTTGTTTTGTTCGGGCAAGCCTTTTGGATCATTGGGGTTGTGACTGGGCTGTCACTGTGCATGCTACCTGCTACCTGAAGTCACACAAGCCGGCTCAGAGACGCACGATTACAAAGCATCACATATGTTGTTGTTCTCTTGTGCAGAAGTCAACACACTGCCACTCACCCCAGAACAACCTACTGCGTTGGTGCCTGTAGAGGAGCCAGCGATGGTACTTGGCTTCTGACAACCATGCGCCGGTCGGCGGGTGTTGCCAACAAAGCGAACCACCCACACCACCATTGTCCGAATGCGTCTAACAATCAGCAACGCCGTTTGCCGCAACAGGCATTGAGTCTCAGTTGGTTCATTTTGTGGATCTGTGTTCTTTTGCCAGTGTCTTTCTATTCTTGAACAAACAAGCACGCTGCAATGCTATTGCATGCTTTGTTGTGATCATGTTTTTTTCTTTTTCTCCCCCTCCCAGGCTATGTCAGATCCACGAATGCATGTCTCCTACAAACCAGCCATACGTCACCTTACCCCTGATTGGTTTGGTGCCCGGTGGTTTGGACCGTAGGGGTTTCAAATCCCCATGTGGTTTCAACAGGTACTGGGGTTCGAATCCCCAAACCAATCCAAACCACCAATTGAGGGGCACCTGAATACGCATCAAGTCCAGCACTGCCATGCCGCCAGCCGTCGCCCTTGCGACAGGCATGCTGGTTTCTTGAGGAGTGCGAACGGGCATGCCAAGGTTGAATTTGGTCCCTTAAAGGATACAGCCATGTAATTTGGTGATTCCCAGCCATCCGGTTCCTTAGTTTCCATCGAACCCACTACAAGCTAAACTTTTATCAGGGAATCTGAGGTCGGTCCAGTTAAGACATTGCCTTTTCCATCCTTTTCCACCAGACCAAAAGCAGATCCCTTCCTTCATTGGCCTGCTATACATGGTGGTAAACGCAAGCACTGGGTTCTAGAACCCACTGGTAACCCTGCTGACACAAGTTGATAGGCACTTCTTTAAAACTTTGCTACCAGAGGTTCGTTCGGGCAAGCAGTACCAAGCGCTGACGTGAGTGCCAAACTAACTTGGAGCCAGCCAGACACCTCGATTTCCCTTCAGAAAGCCCCCGGAGATTGATCGTTCTTTCCAGGACCTATGGTCAGCGAGTCAAGAGCGCACCTCTTCGGATGCGGCCGATGGTTTGAGCACGGCCACGAGCTGTTTTAGAAACATGCTGCTGTGCAGGCCGGCGGTCATGGACGAGAAGGCGGGCGCTCGGGGCAGAAGGAGCAAAGCTTTTGATTGAGGCCTCCAGACATCAAGTCTCCAAGAAGGTAGATGGGCACAGGTCTAAGGTACTTGTGCTTATTTAAAAAGAACTCGAGGAAATCCACACATCCACAAGGGAGTTTCTTTGGTGCAGACTTCTAAATGTTGTCGGGGCATCTTGAATCCACCGACTTGCGGCTCCTTGCGCCCGTCTTGTTGTCATTTGCTGGGATTTGTAGGGAGTCGATGAGGTGACCTCCATACCTCCCAAGAGGACCTTTAAATCTTCTTGCTGGTGAAAGGCAACTCCTTGTTTCCTGAGACAAAGCATCTCACGTGTCCAGGTGGATACTATTGGCCCTGGCCCTGCCTGCCGCAATCTGCGCGGCCGGGATCCCAGCAAATCGTCAGTCGGCTGAACCTCCTTTTGGCCCCAATTGCCACACTTAGCCTATTTTATGAGTGCTTTTCATGTTTGCTTCATTTTCCATTTCAGCCAAACAGCGGAACTTTTTGCATTTGTAAGTTTGGCAGGGCACCCATGACTCGTGGAGCGGGGCGAATCGTCAAGCTCCTTTGTGCACCCCTCGCCCTCCTGGTCTTGTGCGACGTGCACACACACATATATATATATAGGTACACATGACCGCCACCTTCAGGTAAACACCTTAAACTTTTGGAAGTCGTCGGAAGCCTGCGATTTGTTTCTATTTTTAGATGCGGGTTTCTCTCCAGGGGATGCTTGAATGGCTGGTTTCCTAGCTGTCCGTTTTCCTGCAGCACAAAACATCAAGGGTACTCGCAAAGGTGTCTCAGGCACCCGCCATCAGCACGTTGTCGCAAGTGCATTTTCAGCTTTCAAGCCTTGTGCATGATGGCTGTTGTCACCATTTGTTTGACAGAGTAGAGCCACCTTCTTTCCTGCCCCATGAAGATTTGTTCTGGGTTGTTTGGGGCCAATTGCTGTGAATAAATCTACCTTTGCAATTGGCTTCCTGAAATCTTGTGCATAATGTGAGTCCGGTGCTCAGCCATGCAGGTCCCTTGCGGGATGCCCCAAGTGGGGGGTCTGGGGATTGCACCACTCGCTCGCTTCACGCGGATCACGCGCATTGTGTGGCACGGAGGTGGACGCGTCGGCCGTTGCTGCGGGCTTGAAGACCGTGCGAAGCTCAGAGCTCGGATGAAGTTGGCATGGGCACATTGGAGTATAGCAAGCTTGCGCCATGGGCACAGTGGCGTTGAGCCCTGGCCCAGTAACTAATTGGCCCATGTGGCCACTGAGAGGAGAGGAGCCAGGTGAGGTTGTCGACTATCCACAGAAAAAGTTTTGGTTCACCTGGTTACGCTCAGGCAGCTTCAGCGAGTCTTTCATTGTTGTCCATGCATTATCTCCACTCAGCAGCGAGCCCTTTGAAATTGACGCGTGGCAGTTTCTTCTTCTAGGATGTCAATAACCGGGATGTATTCTGAGCTTCAGAACGGAAGCCAGGCTGATTCAGCGATCGATTTGGAGTGGGCGCATGGGCATCCGGCAGGCATCCGGCCAAGCTTGATATCTCGCCTGTGGCTCGTGCCGACTCCCGTGTGCAAGTTGAATGGCAGGGTTGGTTTCCGCCGGCCACCCGCTCCTGACACGATCCAGTCGCTATTCTCGGCACTTCAGTCAGCCACGCGCCTTCGGACTGAGTGTGACAGCCCCGTGGATCCTCACAAAAGCTTTAACGTCCCCCCTTACTCGTCCTCATGCTTTGTGAGACCATATAAGACAATGCTAGCATATGAGGCGTTTGTTTGTGTCCACGGGTCACCTGTATGAGCGTGCAGCACCTTGCGTATGTGCCGCTCTTTCTGGAATTGCCCAGCCTGCCTAACGTTTTGGATGGACCAGTCATCCTGTACCGTCGTCAAAGGGGACAGACACTCGACACTCGGTGAGTTCAAAGATGGGCATCCAGCTCCTCGATTGGGGGGTTCCCCCACTAAAATAGACAGAGACAAGGGTATCCTTATTCGAACCTCTCTACTGGAGGACCTAGTCATGGCATGTCATGGCCCTGCGAACTGTCGACACCTAGTCATGGCATGTCATGGCCCTGCGAACTGTCGACACCTTGATGGATGACTCGGTTCGTCCCGAGGTTCGGACCAGCATTGAGGAACTGCGGCCGGACGTGCGCCTGGTGGCGGTGTCCAAGTTCATTCCCAAGGCGTGGGAGCGCCCGGTGGGCTTCTCATGTATCCGCCAGCCTTGAGTCGTCTCACTTTGTGTAACTCTCCCAGAGTTTCTGGACTTTTTGGGTGACGCCGTGGGCCGGAGTAGTCCGCGCAAGAGCTGCTGAACTTTGGTACTTTTGGGGAATATTTTTTGGGTGGTAAACGCGCGGGCCGTTCGCATGTCTGGCAGCTGCACAGAACGCGACCGAACATGGTTTGCATTTGAAGACCCGGTCATCGCATACTAATCTTGCAGGAGTTCATAGTTCAGACATGGCTGAAACCAGATCTTCTGATTGCCAATCAACCCCAAACTCCAAAACCAGACTGCTGGACCTCGAAACGTACATGGCGACCCTCTCAAGCAATCGTATTCTGCGGCGATCTGGTCAAAATGGCCGACGGCATTCCGTGTGCAGGTATCGCCAAACTGGATTGAACTCGGTTGAAGCGATCTGCTAGTGTCGAATCTTACAGAAACTTGTGCATGTTTAGAGGCCCAAAAGGTTGACTTCTTTTGCAGGTTGGGGGTGAGGTTCCTTTCGCTGGCGGCCTTCGGAATTGATGTGCAATGGGTCTGCTTCAAAGTCGGGGATCTCCTTTGAATTGAATTTTGCATTTTCCGGGTGACGCGTACAAGCAACCCCCTGTATGACAGAAAAAGACAACAACAACCACAGACACCAGCACTTACACACACCCACACACATGGACTCAGTGGTACAAAGCTCAAATAGGACACCTTGTGAGTCATCAGACCAATTTTCGTTGTGAGTCCTACATCCTAAAGGCTGACCTGTTCGCTTTCCTGGTGAGTGGAATGGTAACTAGCGCTTTTCTCCCTAATTAATGCAGTGCAGTTTGATCTTGTTCACGAACCCCAGCTCGCCTTGCGCGTGTCTGTGTGTGTGTGCTTCATTCAAGCATGAGTCGCATGTCGCTAGATACGTGAAAGAATCACGTCGCATGCATATACTCACTTTGTGAACCGTGCCGTAGCCCGGCCCCGCCCCAGAGGGAATGTCAATCCAAAGCACTTTACAGTGCTTTGTCATTTTTTAGGGGACCCCCCAAAATGGTGGTTGCCATTTCCTTCTTCCTTAAATTTACCATAAAAAAGGGGGTACCCCCAAAAAAGACATATACATATATATATATATATATACGCACGTATACGTGTACGTAACATAATATATATATATATAGTTCCCAGACCTGCAAATTCAACAATGATATGCAGGAGCGCGAGGTCATCAACCCAAATTTGGTCCCAGACGACTTGTCAGTATGAAGACTCTGAGGCCGGTCGAAACGTCGACCTGGGTGGCCTTCCAAACCATGGATCCAAGAGGGCTAGGTCCCCCAGTGCCCTTTCTCACCTTGTTTTTGGTTGGGAGGGTTCCTCTACTAAAAAAAGAAACATCGGGTACCAACTTATTCTAACCTCTCTACTGGAGGACCTAGAGGGTCTCTGCAGTCGGCAGGAGCTGGTGCTGGCTGCCCACGACCTTGGCCAGGTTCGCAACAGTGCGTGAAGCGGGTCTCCCTGCCCCAAACATGGTTATTGGGAAACATTTTTCATTTTTGCTTATTGCGGTTTGGTGGGACATCCCCACTTAACTGCTGAAAATTGTTTTTTTGCTGCCCAACGTCAAGCAAGTTCAGAGAGGTTCGAGCCAAACTCTTCAAGTCTTTGAGGTCGGGGGGCGTGTTGAATTCAGGTGTTGAAAGAGCGGCTAAACTGGTCTGCGTTTGTTTCTGGTAGCCCACTGCGAAGCTTGCGGTCGCAAAGCTCAGACACCCTGCAAGTCAAGCCCCCAGCGAAAAGTTTAACGAAAGGACGTTGTCATTAATCTTGCTCTCTGAAGGTTCCCTTAAGTTGTCTGCATGCGTTCTAGAATGCAAATGCTGCACTTGTCCAGTGTCCGCGAAAAAATATATGGCAAAAAGGCAAACTCGCTTCTCATGCGTAAATGCGTTGCGGTTGCGCAGTTGCTGTATTGAAACCACTGACAAAAGAGTAACATTTTGCAGCAGCAGCCTCGCAAAAAGGTCCTGCGAATCTCCCGCAACAGTTTAGAATCTAAAACAAGGCTCAGGTGTGTTCGTGAGGTTTGTGAAGATCCGATGGATTTACCAAGGGCTTTTGCCTGGCTGCCATCTTTGTAGGCCCATTACGAGAGCAGTGACTGGCCCACATGCAGTCTTCACGGGGTCAGGGGGACGAGGGCCTAGCGCGGTGGTGAAAAGGGATTACTTCCCAGACCTTGACTCAGGTTCGCACTCAGGGGCCAGCATCAGATTTGACCAGTTACTTAGAATTCGCCCTCGCCGTATGGTTGCCAGGTCGATTTCGGGGAGAACTATGCTCAGGAGCTGCTGGAGAAGGCTGCAGCACTGCCAAGGAGCATCAGGCGAGAGTTGCAGCTGGAGCCTTGCTTGTGGTTTGGCGATTTGGTGGATCTTGGTGGAGGTTTTGCAGTGCTTCAGTGCTTTAGTGCTTTAGTGCTTTGGTGTTGGAGTGGAGTGGACGCAAACTTCATGGGTGGCAGGCTCGGGCAAGATCTGCGCAATCGAGACAGACAAACTCTCAATTTCGATCTTTGAGCGTTTTCTGTTCGCCTTGCTGACGCGCAGATGGCACTTCATTGGCCGGCTTCAATCGAACAAGGCAGCGATGACCTGACGGGAGGGACAAGGCATCTTTCACGGGAACCATGCTGGAGTTGAGTCTCTCATTGGCCGGTTCCTGTGTCGGGGGATGGGTGAAGGGACATGATATTTCTGATACGAATGAATGTTGCTATCGAGAGACATGAGTGCATTTTGTTCAAATCTATGGTCGCGTTGGGGACCACGGCGCCTGTGGGCCTTCGGGCGACAGAGAGCTCCTTGAATATTAGCAGATCCAGTGTTTCAAGACCGGGTTTGTTGGATCCACAGAACTTCATGTTCTAGACCTTTTGGGGGCTGCTTTTTGTCAGGATCTCCACAGCTGAACACCCCAACCGAAGCAAAAGGAGGCCAAACTCTTGTTTTCCGCACCTGACTTGGACAGATGTCTGGAACCCCTGCGGTTTTGATCCCTTGGAACATTTCATGCAGGCGAAGCGTTGCTTCGCTGTCCTTGGCAAGTTGGTTGGTCTTTTGTTTTTCTTTGGTTCTGTTCATTTGATCCCTCACCCCATGGAGCCTGGCGAAGCGTAGCTTCACTGTTCTTAAACGTTTGGTTGTTCTGTTCATTTGCAAGAATTTAACAACCAAACAGTTTCTTAAGTCGGGCTGCAAGAAAGCCCAAATGTGTCGCTCCCACGGCCCAAAGCGCCCGTGGGGTGAGTTCCGGCCGAATGAGCCGAATGAGCGAGCGAGCGGGCGGCGTTGGAGGTGAAGAAGTTGGTGGCGGTGCCGAACCTCGTGGCCATCGAGACGGTGGATTCGCCCGGTTTAGCGGACAGGCGGATGGGGAAGTGGCTGGACCCAGGGGATGTATGTGTACGTGTGCATGTGTGCATGTGTGTGTTTGTGTCTCACTCCCGGAGTTCCTAGCTTTTTGGATTTGGAAAGACCATTTTAGTGGTAAACCAAAGTTTGGACTTTTTTTGGGGGGCAATCTGAGACTCAGGACGAGAGGTGTGTGTGTGTGTGTGTGTTTTTTTTTTTGGAAAGCGTACCCTTTGCAGGCTGGTTTAGAGCGAAACCAAAGGAACACCGCCCTGTTCGGGGCTCGCCTATTTTGACACTCTTTGAGAGCCACTGAAAGTGGCAAACTGGACTTCGGTTCCTTTGGTTCAACATGGGTGAACTTCTGCTGGTTTCCTCCTCAAGCAACACCAAAGAAGTGTGAAAGGCAGCCATTCGACTGCTCGAGTATCAGAACCCTGAGGCAGGGGTGCCGAGGTGCTTTTTGGCTTATTCAACACCTGCAAGGTTCATCGACTTTTTGTTGTACGGGTTTATGCTGGGAGAGAACACATATTGAGACTCTTCTGAAGCCTTGTTGTTCTGAGGGAGGCTCCCAGCCATGATTGTGCTTTCCCATCCCCCTCCTAAAATTACCACTCAACAGCCGCCAATCATTCAATGCCAGCTCAGCACTTTATAGTACGTTCTGCAACCAGATAATGATAGGCCATAATTCATATATATATATATATAATATGTGTGTATATACGTGTCCAGATGACCCCACACGGCCAACTATCATGCATTCCAGCAACAGCAATGTAGACAACCCTTACAGAGTACTTCAACCTTGAAGTGCCAAAATCGCCGAACGGGCTATTTCCCTCACCCAAACCCTGCAAAGGGGGGGGGTCTTTTTCTCTTCCGCTTGTTGGTTGAATCTTTAACCTTTCCCTTCTTGGTGGGAAATGTGCGGTTTCGCATTCATAAACTTCTTTGGCTGTGGGTCAAAATTAAACTATCAGGATATGGACCGCAGGGTAAATCGTCCATGTTTCCATTTACCAGGGCAACCCATTTTGGGGTTACCCTATTTTTGACACCAGGATATGGACCGCAGCTTAAATCGTCCATGTTTGCATTTACCAGGGCAACCCATTTTGGGGTCACCCTACTTTTGACACCAGGATGTGGACCGCAGCTTAAATCGTGCATGTTTCCATTTACCAGGGCGACCCATTTTGGGGTTACCCTATTTTTGACACCAGGATATGGACCGCAGCTTAAATCGTGCATGTTTCCATTTGCCAGGGCGACCCATTTTGGGGTTACCCTATTTTTGACACCAGGATATGGACCGCAGCTTAAATCGTGCATGTTTCCATTTACCAGGGCGACCCATTTTGGGGGTACCCTATTTTTGACACCAGGATATGGACCGCAGCTTAAATCGTTCATGTTTCCATTTACCAGAGCAACGCATTTTGGGGTTACCCTATCTTTGGAAACCCACAGCCATTTCTGCGGGAGGCGGTAGCCCAAAGGAACTCACCTTCAGCGCGCCAGGATTGCCGCCGCAGCTGCAGACCGCAGCGAGCGCTTGGATCTCTTGGTCCAGGAGCGCCGGGTTTTCGTCCATCGGCTCAGGGGAGTCCTCAGTGGCCCCCGTGGTTGGTTTTGCAAAATGGGTATCTTCCATTTGGATATTTTTTTGTCCGCCCTGTTGGTTTTAAAGGGAATCTATCACAACTGTTCCTTATTTTTTCTCCAGGGGACTTAAGCAAATGGAGGGTATGGGTCATGATTTAACCACCAGGGGACCGCAGGTTTTAGCCCCGGGTTCCATGTGCCAGGTGTCATTCTGGGTACCTAATTTTGACCCGCAACCAATCAATGCTTAATCCTCATGCCAGATTGTACTGGAGTCTCTATGAGTCTCCCTTGTGGTGGTTGTGAACACCAACAATGACATTTGGTAGTCGGGTAGTGCGTCAATTAAATTGAGTTGCTACCTAGCTTATACAGTTCTTTGTTTCACTGACCAAAATTGAGGGACCCTTTTGGATGGAGGGCTATTGGTTCAGGGTGGTGTTTTTCCTTGTTTGTTTGTGTTTTCTCCGGGCTGGCGTGTTTGGCTTTTTGCGAGGTTGTGTGGTTTTTTGCAGCTTTTGTCGCTTTGGTTTTGCACATCCGCAATACCAGAAGCACCCCCCGCATCACCCGCAGCATCAACTTTAAAACCCTTGCTGCTCTATTGGTGTCTTGCCCCCGCCCCCCCAACGCCCCTTTTTTTATAAGGCCATTGCAAAGCTTTGTGATGACCTTAAAGGGCAAAATAAAATCCCAACTCTGAACGAACCCTTACCACACCTCTTGGCTTGCGCGGTTTGCGTGACTTGTGGTGGGTTTTCCGATCCTAAACCAACTCTAAAACACCACATCGCAAAGCCCGCCGTAAACCACAGCGAACACCAAACCCAAACCCGCCCCAAACCAACCCTGAAGAAACCCTCAAAGAAACACTGGGAAAACCCTACACCAACCCTAAACCTATCGCACCCTAACACACACCCTAAATAATCCGTTCAGATTCCTTAACCACCCTAAACCAATCTGAAGCCAATCTTAAACCCACCCGAAACCAGCAATAAACCAAGCCCTGGGCAAACCCTAAACCTGCTCGAGACTACGCCAAACCTAAATCCACACAAAGTCTGCACCAAACCATCCCTAAACCGCCCTAAACCTACCGCACGCATGTAGACCAATGTGTAAACATATGTATATACATATATATATATATGTATGTGTCCCCATATATATATATATATATATATATATATATACACATATACATACACCCCACCCCCACCCCACACCACCCAACCCACGCAAGAGAGATATTTTTAATCATATTTCTGCAGCGGTGGGTATTGGTGGGAAGGGACAACATGTTTGAGGGGTTTAGCAGGTTCCGCCCTTGCAACCTCTTCTGCCACGGTACCGGATTTCCGGGTGGCGCCAGGTGGACACCAGCAATGAAGCGACCAAAGGCCGGGGGCTGGGGTGAACTGCAAAAGCACTGCGGCTGAATGGCCTGAGCAGCAAACAGTTTTGCAACATAGGAGTCCCCAAAGGGCTTGGGTACCCTGCGTTGGGAAATGCCCAAAAGCCCCAAAGGATGTAGGCAATGTCTTGGATTGCCCCCCCCGCCAGTTTTTCTTGGCAACATTCCTTCATTGTTTGGCCTACATGGCTGTAGTTTGCGGCGTTGTTGGTGGATGGCTCACATGTGTGCGCGTTCCACCTAGCGACTACGCATGAGGGTTGGCGTATGTTGGCATCGGTTGCGCATGGACCGCCGCTCCAAGCGCCGTTCTCCTTGGTCTGCCTCTTTGGCCTGGGCAATGCCAAGCCACTTGCAGTTCAGCGCAGCCTTGGCACCGAGTACTTCGATGCAATGCGCTAGTCGGCCATGCGCCGCACTGCCTGGGATGAGGCAGACACATGCGCTGTAGGAACTGCCTTAAGAGCTGCATTCAGCCTCACTTGTGCACGTGGTCTACAGAAACCTTGGCTAATGCCAACGCTTGAGTTGGAGCTGTGCAGACATGTCATGTCGAAGCTGCTTGTGGGACAGTTCTTCCAGGCGTTGAGTGGCTTCCAGCCACCAGAATGCTTATCCATGGGCATGCCTGGCAGCTCATCGCCCTAAGCCGCTCTGGAAAGACGAATCTGCCACAATGTTTTTGTGCAGCAACCCAGAGCTTGATTTGTCACCCACCCGGATACCCAGATATGTTATTTATGCTTCTTGCAACGAGGCTGGACACTGCAGGTTCACGCGCAGCAGCGCCAATCGGCCATGTCTTCGGCATCGATGGGTCGTGCCAAGCTGCTGTAGGTCTCTAGCGGCAATGCTTTGGAGTTGTTTGGGTATAGGATGTGTTTGAGGGTGTTTTCTTCCTCGTGCTAAGTAAAGTTATTAACACAGAGCGCGTGGAATGTGGAGCCTGGACGCACCCTCAAAGGTACATAAGACTCCATTTAGTAGCGCATGGACAACATGAACACTGCTTCTGCAGGGCGACACTGCGGGGAAAGGGATGTCCCAGCTTTTCGACATTGACAACGTGTCTTGCAACATTTGGATTGGGCATGAACAAGATTGAGCTTTGCTGCTTTTTTTTTTTATATGTATCTAGAATGTGATGTCTCTCTTTTGCTTGCCCCACACAATATGTAGATGACTCAGTTGAATGACATGTGTTTACTACACCGTTTTTGCCCTTGCCTTACCTGCATGTATGCACATGAGCTGTTGACGCAGCATGATATTGCGTGTTCTACTGGTTTGTTGCCCTGGCCCACACATGTTTTCTCTATTATCCTCTTCAAGCTTGCGCATCTTGGATGGCGATCCAAGCCAGAAAACACTCAACCGGAATCCACGAATACCATAGCCTTTTTGCATTTTTGTTGGCTCTACATTGTGTGTGTGCACTCTACATGTGTACCAGCGTGTCTCTATGGTTCGAATGGGTGTCTCTTTTGTTCCGCCGCATTTGTGGACAAGCGCGTAGAAAGGCTAGATATGCAGACTGGGGTCGATCCATGCAGCCGTGCCTCCAACCTTGCGGTGGCGCAAAGTCAGCGGCCCATTTCGTGGATTCCGTTTTGGCGGCATGTTTGCCACCTTTCATTTGGGACTACAGGTTTTCTGAACCCGGGGTTTGTTTCGGCTTTCGAAGGTCCAAGCAGTCCATGAGTTTGACACACACTGTCTGATTGGGACGGGGGACTTGGCTTGTTGGGCTTGGGCAGCTGGGCTGGTTTTTCCATGACACCTTACGCCGCATTCAGGCGGCGTGCTGCCGGAGGAGGCGGCGTCTTTGGCGAGCCACATCCACCACCTGGACGGCGTCCGCATGGCCGGGGCCGGTGGATTCCACCCTCAGCCCGTTTCGTTTGGATTTCGGATGTTCAACGCCCCATTCCATTCCATTCGATTCCGGTCCATTGTTTGGAGGCCCACAGGCCGACTAAGATGCGCCGTGAGTGCCACTACCCCGAGTCTCAGGGCCCCCAAATCAGAATTCCATGCTCGTTTCTACCAAGACTCACTGGGCTGGGGAGAGGTCCGGAGATCTGCGGACCGCAGGCATCCCCCATGATAATGGGGGGCATTTACCCGCTGATCAAGTTGTTGCTTCTTTCATTTGGAGAGGAAGTGGGGGGGGATGGTTGGGCTGTGAAGTTGTTCCAAGCTTGCTTTCCACAATGCTGTTGCCATTTGCCGAAGGTTGCCTGCAATGCACCCGCCAGCCGGTCTTTTCCGAAGTCTTCCTTTGGTGAACAATCACCAGCCACACACTCCGTCAGAAACATTTACCTACACTCCATGTTTGTGGGTTTCATTTTGGAGATGTCAAAAAGAACAACACACATGGCTGTGTGTTCTTTTCGAAAGGGACCCCCCCACTATCACTTAGCGGTTTTCAAACGGGTTGCCCCTTTAAACCACCAAAAAAGAGGGTACCAACCTTAAGAAAGGCCTTAAAACCCCCCCCCAAAAAAAAACAAAACAACACTAAAAATAGCTAGGTCTTCCAGTAGTGCCCTTTCACCCTTTTTCGGGGGAGGGTTCCCCTACTGAAATAGACTACATTCTAACCTCTCTACTGGAGGACCTAGAACCACTTCTGTGATACCAGGTAAAATCTCCCCCTGGAAAAAAATGAAAACAAAAGCAAAAGTCCTTAAGCCCCCCCCAAAAAAACAGGAATACCAACTTTAAACAAATAAGTCCCTAACCCACCCCCCCCCCAAAAAAAAAAAAGAAAAATAAGAAGGAATGCAACACCACAAAACACGAGATGCAGATCCACATGCGGAGGCCGGGCTGATGACCATCGGCGCCTTGGGGGATCACAGCGCCTTCGACCGGCTCCGCGACACCCGCGAGACGGTGGCGCAGCAGCTGAAGGCGTCGATGCGAAAGGAACGAGCGCAGTGGTTGAAACCATATAGGTATGGGTCAAAATGAAATCACCCCCAAAAAGCGGAGGTTGAGCCCATAACCAGGCTGGAAGAAGAGGACCCCAGCAGAAAATGAGATCTTTGTTGCCTGGTCAGTGGAAAACAAAGGGACCCCCCCAAAAAAAGCAAAAGAACCCAAAGGGGAGCTAACTCTGGGGAAGATAATGCTGTGGATGGTTGCGAAATCCTCTTAGGCACCACCGTTCAGAAACCCGGGAATGATTCGATTCCCTTGGAAATACCAACAAACAATGGTTTCCCATGCCATGGTTTCAAAGTGGTGCAGGATTTTGTCCACCCACAGTGTTTGGGGATCCCTACGTTTTGGAATTGTTGCTATGATTTTCAATGTTAGATAAAGTGTTGGTTGGTTCCATTGTGGAGGGAGTAGTGAAATCCACGGCCTTGATTGATCACGGGTCAACACTACTTGCGTCTTCAAACCTGCGTAGGGTTGCAGCTGTCAACCAGTGCCTTTGCCCTCATCGCTTATCATGGGTCAGGGCGCACCGTTGAACAGTTGAAGATGCAAGTGCTCATGGCTTCGGCAAACTGTCAGAGCCTTCTGTTCCAGAAGGCTTCAACTTTGTATTTTCGTACCGCAGAAACAACGCCTGGGCCCGAATTTGCTCGAATCAGCTCAGCAGATGTCGACTGGAAGCCCCACAATTTCCATTGAATCGCCCCCCAAAGCAGGCTCCAAGTATGTACCCGAACCAGAAACCCATGTTGGGCTGTAGAGCTGCGGCAGTCATCAACTGGACCATGCCAGAGGAAGCCCAAACGCTAAGAATATTGATATTGCCACATAACTAGAGTGACGCATCTACAGACATCATCTACAGCTTCAGTTCCTGGCACCAGAAACTCTTCTATTTGGTCCACATGCTGGCTTGTCCATTGTCATGCCCGGCCGACCTCGCAAGCAAAGCCTGTGTAAATCTGCGATCTTTTCGGCAATCGCACTTATCATTCCAGACCCGAGGGTTTGCACCCTTTTTGCGTGTATGTTCAAGCCTTGTCATTTTGATTCTAATTGGGGACCCTTGGTGGTCATCATTTGGTGGTCACTTTGGAGCTGGTTTCCTGTTCAGATTCATAGTCATGTGTATCCATCTTTTGAATCCATGGTCAAGCGACATCCGACATGCCTCTCGGAAGGTTTGGTGTCCGTTCACACTTCCAGCTTCTGAGTTGGGGCGTCCCCCAACCACTCACACCCTGCTTGGTTCAATATATCATGTGCGCATCTTGGTGCTGATTGCTCGGAACCGCTGGATTTTTGATGGCCGGCTGATGCTCAGCATGATTCAGAATCGTTTTTTGGCAAAGTCGGGGCATGTCGGTGGCATTCCCCAGATAGCTCGGAGATGAAACCTTTTGGAAGCAAGAAACACTTGAATCAAACACCAGATGAGGCTGCTTCGGCATGACACACAAACAGGGCCCCAGTTGCCCTTTCAACCTTGCCCATTGCTGTGCGAGTAAGGAGCCCCCTGGTTTCGGACGTATATACAGTTGTCCAGTGGCCCCCTTTGTTGCTTTTTGTTCCTTGGCTTGACCACTTAGCAGGCTGGTGCCCCGAACCTGTTGAGGAGATTTCGGCCATGCCACCGCTGATTCCCAAGACCATGATCGACTGCCGGGCCTTTTGGCCCTTGGATGCAGCCTTAAGGAGGCAACCCATTGGAACGTCTTTAGAGCGGCCTGTGCCGTTGATTTCTTGGCGGCCCTTGACCGGGGATCGCGCGAACGGAGCGTGGCGGGTTGGCGCGCACCTCTCGGAACATCTGGCTTCTCGGGCGGTTTTGCTTCAGCCTGAAACCGCCTGAAGTCCAAACCGGCTTCGGCGTCCCCCGTTCAGGGCTGCTTGATTCTTATGACTACGTCCGCCTTGCTTGTCAGCACAGCTCCTTTTTCTCTCTCGGATGGACGACCGCCGGACATGAGCGTTGGGAGTATGCCGCCATGCGGACCTTTGCCCCCGTCTGGCAAAGTCTGCATACAAAACAAGCGACGGGGTGCCAGGTGACTGGGGCTACCAGCAAACTCTGTTGACTGTTTGCCTATTCTGTGGTAGCTAAAGTAAAGCAAGGAGGAACAAGGAATGCACATGACACAAGTGCAGGCTTTGGATTGCTGAACACTGCAGACAGCTCATACACTGCGCCAAATGTGGGCAACACTGCATTTGGAAGCCCAACCAGAACCTTTTGCCTGTTTTGCTTTGAGGTAATGCGCATGAGGTCCAAGCAACTTTCTTGCCGACCAGGGTTTTCAGGCAGAAGGGAGTTCTCACTCTCTGAGTTTCTGGAATCAATCGTTTGGGAAGTGACATTTATCTAGGGGTTGGTTCCCCATTCTTTCCAACCATCTTTCTTTTCAAAAACCAGCTGTTTCCCTGGGTTTTTTGATGGTTTCCTGAAAGAAGGATCCCTGGAAAGAATGGAAATGGAAGGTAGCCCTAGAATTTACGGGAACAAGTTCCGCAAGAGGTTTGGAACCTTCTAATGAGTGGGTGACCCTTGCGTGTACTCTCCTGAAAAGAAGACCCCCCAAAATGCCGACTCCTTCTAGCCGCACAGTGGTGATCAAAATCAGCTGTTGTTTTTATCAGCAAATGGGGAATGGCCATTGTACCACAAACCAACAGATCGCAACTGAGCTAGTTTAAGAGTTCCATGCATCAGTCTGTCAGCTACTGACGGGTTTGATTTTCTCGCTCGAGCTTGCGATGACTCGGAGAATGGTACTCACACCCCTTGCGGCAAAAGAGACTTAGACTTCGGTGCATTTTGCTTGGATGTTAGGACTTCAACTTTTTGCCAACTCATGGGTTTTCCGCATTACACCACTAAAAGTTATTCACTTTCAGGGGAGCAGAAAGCAACCCCACAACCCCCCTCCCCTCCCCCCAGCCCCCCGTCCCCACCCCCCACACCCCCCCCACACCCCCTCCACCCCAGAACTGGAGGTAGCCCGAAAGCGCCAGAGTCAGCGCCAGGTGCCGCTGGACTCCCTGACCCTCAGCATGGGCATGTCCGGAGACTTCCAAGAGGCTCCGCCGACGGTTTGCGGCAAGACCCACATGGCCGTGGTGGTCCACACCGTTTTGGGATCCCATGTTGTTGTTTTTTTTTGAACGGCTTTTTTTTGAACGGCTGCTAGGAGGAGCTCCTGTGATGTTGGTTGGGATTGGTGAATGCACCACCCATTGTAGGCTACCTGTTTTAGTGGTTGGATTGAATCGGATGTTCAAAAAGGGGGTACGATTTGGGTTTTGACCCATAGCCAAATAAAAAGCGTTGGGCTTCCCAGAAGGAAACCAAAAGGTGCTGGCTATCAAGAGAACTTCTTCCGGGTGCTCCTATTGACCCAGCTGTTTTGAAGGGTCTGCTTTCCGGCGTTTGCCGGTACTCTCATCTTATCCATACTAATTGGGCAGAACCCCGAGCGTAGTCACTTTAGCGGCATTGGTATCAAGATGCAGAATGACAGGTTGACTTGTTTGTGGCCACTGCAAACATGGATCCGTGGTCGCCTACGCTGTGGCAAGTCGAATCACCAGGATCATCCTTTAGCAGACATATGTAAGAGTCACCAGATGTCACCAGTCTCAGAAGCCAGTAGGGATGTTTGGATCCCGGATCTGCCTTACGAGGTCGTAGCGGCACAAAAAGCGTCGATTGGTTTCAGAAGGATTACATGTGGCCTGCATTAGTCATGGTCTCAATAGTCGGGGAATCTTTGACTTCAAGGGTACTTGACAGGTGAGTCATTGGGGCAGGTCGAACTCACGGAAACCGGGATCCCGACTAATTGACTTCGCTTTTGTTTATTGGAAACTTTCCAAAACGTGCGTCTTTGAATAGTAACCACAGACCTTTAACACTGTTAGAAGACAAATGTGCTTGGCTCCCATGTTTTTGGGCACGCAGAGTTCAAAGTTTTGCAGCAAAGGTGATGAACGTGCATCCAAGGTGTTCAATCATATTTGTTCGCCATGTCAGGCCATGTCTTCCCAAGCTACCAATCATCGCCACCGTTTTGAGGAATGCTGGATGTTGTAAGTCCGGATTCTTGCCAAACCTACACCAATCACTCATATATCAGTTTCCGCGTGGTGTATGTATGCACTGTTGCAGAGGGATTGTCGTGGAAACTGCTGGTCTAAGCACTGCTTAGGATGCACTTCAAGAGGGAAAGCACCCGTATGAGCTTCTTGGACCTTCTTCGGGGACACCAGCATGGTTCAAAGGCTGAACGTATGCACCCATTTTTCAAAAGTGGCTCACTTACACCATACTCAAGCAATACAATACTTTTTAGTGAACTCATAAATCAAGATGTGTGGCCACTGCGCACCGGGATTTGTTGGTTTTTTGGTCCATTCCTGGGATTTTCCCCTTGATCTCTGAGGCCATCCGGCGTGGGGCCACGTCCGTGCGCGTGGGCCAGGAGCCCCAAAGTTGTGGCGGGCGTCGGCGCATGGGTTGAGTCGCATGCGGGGACCAAGTTTCTAGGGGTAGCTTCCAAGGATCCAGGGAAATCGAATCTTTCCAAGGAAAGTCCTGAAAGATCCAAGGTAACTTTCCAAGAATGTCCTGAAAGATTCTTTCCAGGGATCCGAATCTTTTCAGGAAATCGAACACCCAGGGAAAAGCTGGCTGGTTTTTGGAAAGAAGGATGGCTGAAAAGAATGGGAACGGAATCAACCCCTAGAAAGTTGCATGGGTGTTGCTGGGTGAGGCGGATGCATGGGTGGCGCGAGGGAGGGGCGGGGGGGGGGGGGGTGATGAGGGGTTTGGTTGCTGGGTAGTGAGGTGGATGCATGGATGTGATGCATGGATGGGTCTTGTGTCCTTTGGAGGTGAGGTGCTATAGGTGGATTCCGGGAACGAATCAACGAGCTCATTCCCAGATATACTTGAAAGAGTATCGTGATGCAAATAGTTTGGTATTGTCTCACACTCCTTGACAGTCACTCAGAAATCGCCTGCCCAGTTAATTCCGATTTTAGGAGGAAACCCAACAAATCCAGGTGTCAAGAGAGATCCCTTCTTGCTTGATGTCACAAAGGAACTAAGTACGAAACCAAGCATTTTGGAGAGGCCCCGATGATCGTCTGGAAATTCCCGATTTGGGCCCGAGGAATCTCTCGCATCTTCCCAATTATAAGCCTTGGATGTTTGAGGGTGTGCACGAATCCTTTGGTCCTTTGTAGCTCGCCCCGCTCACCCCGGCCCCCACTGGCACCTCAATCACTTGAGCCTAAGAGGCCGAAGGGGGATGGCTCCCGTCCCTGAACTTTGTTTTGAAGCATGCTGAGTATTGTTCAGATTTGCCAAGCAGCTGGTGCGGACCTTCCTTTGAGCGATCCGTGTTTCTCACGGCCCAATTGGCACGTGCACACAACTCCTCAAAGTCAAGGGTTCGAACCAGGACGACTCACTCGGCCAAACATTCTGAACATCCGGCAGGGTGGAGCCAATGCTTTTTCGGCGCCAAGCCAACAACTTGACGACTGCTATTGGGTTGGATCTTTAGACTTTAGACTTCAACATTTTGGGAAATCAAGGGGTTCTCCACTAAACCCCCCCCCCCCAAAAGTTAAACATTTTGTGCAGGGGTCGTTCCAGCAACCAAGACAACGAAGCAGTCGTTTCAATCGGTTTTCTTTGGGTCCCGCCAACTCCCTGGAGTCAAATCCCACGGCTTCCATTCGCAAGAAAGGCTCCTCCATCTTCGGCGCGCGGCCACTGCAACGCCCGGAAAAGAGCTAGAAAAAGCCGAGGCAAAGCCGGACTCGTGCCATGTGGCTGTGGCTCAAAAAAGTGGTACCAATCTTTGGGCCCCTTGGATGGAAGCAAAGACCAGAACCTGCGTAACCCCAGCTTTTTCATTTTGAGCCACACCCATGTGTGTGTGTGTGGTCAATCGACCGCTTCCTTTACTTAGGGTTAATAGAGATGGTCATCCTCCTGGTAGCAAGGATCCTCAAGAATCACTATAATGATGT